AGGTTACAGGGACCCCTAAAGACTCCATAGTTTTCAATGTGTCTGGAGTACCCAGACCTCTGGCTTCTGGCAGCATTCCAATGCCGGGGCTGGGGAGGATGGGGTGGTCCCTCCACCTGAGACTGCGACACCTCTCACAGGGCAGGCTCCTGCTGGAGCAGTGCAGGACTCACCCCAATATAGCCGCAGCAGTTGTCTAAATGGCCCCCATGGAGAGGGAGGCTTCTCGCACAGTCTAGCTCAGTTTTCAGTGGTGTTTTCAGCCCAGGCATGAGTACTTTCAAGAGGGTTTTACTGTGGTCCAATGTTTGGGACAGGAGTTTGTACCAGGAGGACCCTTCATGGCCGGCTGGAGAGAGCAGGACACTGGCCCAGAGTTGCCCAGAGGCAGCCGAGCTGAGCTGGGAACTCTGAAGGCTCCCTTTCCATTCTGTGCTGCTGGCTTGTACTGTGTGCCGGGGCCTTGCCTGGTCGGGTCTGTGGATGGGTGTGGGAGGTCAGACTCGCCTCCTTGCCTCCTTGGCGGCCTCTCTCTGAGACTTGGGAGCAGTGACGGGCGTTTGGATCTGGGTTGGGAGGGGAGGGAGGCCTCGGATGGCTGGACCCAGGGGCACAGCCGCACCATGGATTGGGCCCTCTGTTAGCATCTGTGTGGTTCCATGTCCCGTGGGGGCTGGGAGCTCATGCGTAGTGGAGAGATGATGCTTGGAGGGAGGGCCGTTAGGGACTTTCTAAGAGGAAGTTGCTGTATTTAAACTCTGAGGCTTTCTAAGCAAGCAAGGAGGAATTGGTTTGAGGTGGGGAGGCTGTGACAATGTCTCCGGTCCTCTTCCATGTGGCATCAGTGCTTACTGCTTACCTATGCTCCCACCTAAGAGCCGCTGACCAGCAGGGCTGCAGTTTACTCTCCAGAGTAATGTGGGATTCATCCTCTTAGTTGTCAGGGCAGCTGTTCTCATTGCCACTTAACAGGTACAGAAGCAGAGGCATCGAGGGCTGGGCAGCTCCTGCCTTGCTTGGTGGGGACAGCACCCGCTCCCCGCAGCCCCCTTTCACATAACCTGGTCAGCAATGCCATGAGAGTAGCTCCGGGAAGGTGAGCTACACCCCCAACCGCCTTCTTTCTTCTCCTTGACCACTGAGTGCAGGTTAGCTCAGCACATGTCATTCACCACCTCACTGAGCACCTACTGGGAATCAGAGCCTGTCGCGGGCACCCTCCATGGGTCAGCCCCGCCTGGCCTTGCCCTCTTTGCCCTCCCAGGACTCACACCTTTCACCATGGAAATCGCTGTTTCTGAAACAGCTGTTAAATGGAGGCACAGAGCATGTGCTCCAAGGGCCCAGAGGAAAGAAGGGGCCTCTGAGCTGAGCCTTCACAGGAACCAGGGTCTTGTTTGAGGGCACTGTGAGCAAAGACACAGAAGTGGGGAACCAGGCATCCGGTGGGCGATCAGGTGGATGGCACAGCCCAGACCCCTGACTTGTACTCTGGTCCCCTGTTGCCGCCGTGTGGCTCTAGGCAAGCGCCTGAGGGCAGTCTGGTAGCAGGCCTTGCTGCTGCGCTGTCACTTTCAAAACTCCAGAAGCTCTGGCTGGTAGAGCTGATTCTGTTCCACTTTTCCACCCATCTCTGATCTTTCAGCTTGGGAACAAGGCCTTACCACAAGCCAAAGAAGGGAGTCCATCACCTGAACTAACTGAGCGATTACCTGGCACCCCAGAGATTCTGACTTACTTGGGCTGGGACTGAGCCCAGGGTCCGGGCAGGTTTTAAAGCTCTCCATAGCGACTGATGCGCCGCTAGCGTTGAGAACCACTGCTCTATGCTCACCTTCATGCAGCGGTGGTACACTGAGGCCCAGAGCAGGACAAGGTCATGCAGGCAGTGGCAGAACCATCTCTGGACTTCCGGGCCAGTGTTGTTCTGCTTGTGCATGAGGATCAGGCGAAGCAAGGCTTCCTGAGCCTTGTGTGGGGTGGGTTCTGCTATCGCTACCTTGCCGGCATGGGGTCTGTCCTGTTCCTGCTCCAAGACCCATTCTGATCCAAGATGACCCCAAGGTAGTCACAGCTGCTGGGCCCTCATCTCATGAAAGCCTCAAGGAGTGGGTTGGGGCTGGGTGTGTGATTCCTTGCCTTGGAGATGCCCCTCTCGTAGTAGTTGGAGGGGAAAACCAGTTCATTCTGGAATCCTCCATCCCCCTTAATGTACAGCTGCCATTTGTTCAGCTTTCTCATGTGCAGACACCTTCTGTTGCACTGTCACAGCCTAGGGTCTTGTGGATGATCAAATAGAGTCAGTTTCTTCAAAAAAATAAGTGGAGGGCTGGGAAGAGAATGGGCACCCACATAATGAGCGTTGACTTTATGGCAGCCCTGTGTTAGGTGCTTTGCATTTGTGAAATCGGTGGTCCATGACCAGGGGCTGTTTTGCCCTCGGGGGGTATTTGGCTGTGCCTTCAGACCTGTTTGGTTGTCACAACTCTGCAGATGGATGATACTAGGTTCTCTTGGACAGAAGCCAAGGATGCTGATAAACCTCCGATACTACCCAGGGCGCCCCTCCCCCACTAACAAAGAATTTTTCAACCCCAAATGCCAATAGTAGTGAGATTGAGACACCTCTGCATGCAATCCTCCTGGCAGCCCCGGATCACCCCTTGTTTTACAGAAATGGGTTTGCAGAGGAGACTCAGACCCTAGTCCCAGGTCTGCCTGAGTGCAGGGCCCAGGCCTCTGCCTTCCTCTCCCGCCTCCTGGGCTGTGGTGCTGTGGGTGGGGTGGGAGGAGGTGAGAGCTGAAGGGTCACTGTGCCCCTGGCCTCTCGCCATGGTTTCATCAGCCATGGGTGTGAGTCAGGTTCCGGGTCCGCCTCCATAACCTGGCTTCCTCTTTTGGGTGGACCTTTAGGCACCAGTTAAAGGGTAGACAGAACCACACTGTGGAGATTCTGAGTTCCGGAACCAGAGCAGGTACCAGGCCAGAAGAGGGGAAGGGCCACACTGTCCCCTTACCCAGGGCCCCTGGCTGCTCTGTGCAGATGGAAGCTGAGGTCACGCCTGGTCTCCATCGAAGCAGAACTTGTCTCCTGGTGGGTGCTTGTGGATTCCTCCCATTCTACCCATGAGCTGCCCAAAAGCCACAGCAGCCTCCCCCCGAAAGGAGCTGCTGCCAGCCAGTGCTCCAGTTGGAGGGGAGCCTGCACACACCCAGAGGTGGGGACGTGGTGGGGACTTGAGGGTGGGGATAGAGACAGGAGCAACAGGACAGAATAAGCTCTCTGTGACCATACCCTATTTCTGGGCGTCACCAGTGAGGCCACACACCACGGAAGGCCACTGTGAATAGTCTCCCTGTTTAATTATCCTTCCCCCAAGCCATTTATAGAGGCGATGGCCTAACCCTAACCCCAATAAGCATCCTTTGTTCCTGCTTAGGGCTTTAAAGCTCTGTTATGTCTCTGTGCTGTTCCCTCCTTAGTAACAATCCCCTCGGTTGGTGTGCTTGTTCCAGATGCGGAGAGGGGGCTGGGAGAGGCTGAATGAACTGCCCTGGCTGGCACAGCTAGTCAGAGGTCAGGTAGGGCCTGAAACCAGAGGCAGTGGACACAGTCCAGTGCTCCCGCCGGTGTGCGCCGTCTCACTTCCTGCCCTTCGAGTAGTGGAGAGGACCTCTCAGGAGGTGGAGGGTGTGGTGGCGGTGAGCGAGCGGAAGAGGGTACCCAGGTGCTTCCTTGCTCCCCAGCTGGGGGCCAGCTTTAGGAAGGAGGACCACCCGCACTGACGGTCATTTACCCAATTGTGCTTTGTGGGATATTCAACCCAAGGAATGTGGCGCCCCTGGCCGAGCGTAAGCGGAAGCCCAAGTTCTCCAAGGAGGAGCTGGACATTCTGGTCACCGAGGTGACCCATCACGAAGCGGTTCTCTTTGGGAGGGAGACCATGCGGCTGTCCCATGCTGACAGGGACAAGATTTGGGAAGGCATAGCTCGGAAAATCACCTCCGTCAGCCAGGTCCCCCGCTCCGTCAAGGACATTAAGCACAGATGGGATGACATGAAACGGAGGACCAAGGACAAGCTGGCCTTCATGCAGCAGTCCCTGTCGGGCCCCGGGGCCGGGGGCCGGGCCCCCACCATTGTGCTCACTGCCCACGAGAGGGCCATCGAGTCGGCGCTGCTCACAGCCCGTTCCGGTCACAGCTTTCCCAGGGCAGAACTGGATGTCACTGACAGCCCTTCGACCAGCTGTGAGTACCACTCATCCCGCTTCCCAGGTTCCTCTTGTCTGCTCCCGCGCCCCCTCCTCGGCGATTTCCCATTCACTTGCCTTCTCCTTCTCTCTTCTGTCCCTCTCTGTCTCGCCTATCTTTCCAGGTCTTCCCTCCTTGTCCCACTCTGTCTTCCCCACCCCTTTCCGTTCATTCATTCTAGAATATTTCCTGAACACTGCGCCAGGAGTTGTGTATAAAACCTACACCGGTCCCGCTCTTGGGCAGTTCCTAGACTCGTGGGAATAGACAAACTTTAAGTAAATAATTGTACAAGGAAATTTGTAATGAAGGATGAAGGGCCAGTACTGGGAGTCCTGAGGGCTGACTTCATGGGTGTGTGACCTGTGCCATCCACTTGGGACCCTGAGCTCATGAGGACTTTGTGCTGGGTTAAATGCTCTGTGGTTCCCTTCCTGAAACTCCTAATAGTTTATGAACAAGGCGCCCTGCATTTTCATTTGGCTCTGCAAATGATGTATGTAGGAGCCCTTTCTGAGAGCCTGCAGTGGTGGAACAGGCTCTCCACCAGGGGCTGGGGAAGGCTCCCGGGAGTGACAGTAGAACTGAGATGAGAAGGGTGAGTAAGAGTTAACCAGGCCGGTGGCTGCGTGGGGCGCAGACGAGGGGAGGGGAGGAGAGCGCCTCTCCTCGCAGGCTGAGAACAGCATGTACAAGGCCCCGCATCAGGAAGGCGCTTGGCACGTTCCAGAAACAGAGAGGAGCCAGGGAAGCCCAGTGGAGTAGGCGAGGGGGAGGGGGCGTGCGAGGAAGCCAGCCAAGTCTTCAGGGCCCAGGCCACAGAAAGATCAGTCTCACTCTCTGTCTGTTCCTAACATCTCCATTTCTGTGTTATTTTCTGCACTTCTGTGCCATGCTGCCTTCTCCCACTTCTCTCTGCAGTCGGCCTCTTGCTGTCTGCCTGCCCTGAGGCTCTCTCTAGGACCCTCTCTCTCTGTGGCCACTGGGTCCCCTCCCCGTCCATTCTGCCCCCATGTCCCCTTCCTCTCTCAGCACTTGTTTTCCTCTTTCCCCTCTGCTTCCTGTGTCTCAGGACAGACTGTGATGCTGGTGGCTGGGTGCGGGATCTCCTGGCCCAGCTCCCTGTAGTTCACCCTGGGGCTGGAGTTCTCGTTGGGCTTACCAGAAGGGGGAGCAATTAAGGCCCTTCTGTGCTGGGGGCTGCACCCCTTTCGGTTCTGCTGCTGCACACACACACCCACCCTCTCAACCCACAGCCCCAACTGGAGGCCATCTGGCCTCTGAGAGCTTAAGCAGGGCGGGATGGCTCCGGCGAAGCCGGCCACTGGCCAGCCCACGAGAAGGTGGTTCGGTTCACAAAAACCCAGCCTCCCCTTCCCAGGCCCCTTGCCGTTGGGATCTGCTCATTTCCTGTTTGGCTGGGGCTCCCTACAGGTGGCCATTCAGACTCAGATTTTCAGGACTGGGAAGGAATGTGGAGACCATCTAGTGTGACTTCCTTGTTCCCCAGATGAGAAGCATCTAAGCTCCAGAAACAGAGGTGGCCCCAGAACCAGGACATGAGCCCAGGTCTGCTAGCTCCCAGTGTATCAGTGTTTTGCTAAATTTTGGGATAATTCCACCCAATTATAAGAAAAAGAAGGGGACCCAGCACCCAGTAAAGTCCATTCCTAAATCCTGCCCTGCTCACCCCTCCATCTCTCCGAGACTGAAGGTAATGAGGTTACCAAATGTCACCTGGGCTGGGCAGGGGGCCCGTGGTCCCTACTGAAGGCTGAGCCAGCCCTCCCTCCTCTTCCCCGCCAGTCGACCAGCTGTTGCAGCACTTGGCCAGCAGCTCGGTGGAAGGAGGCCCTGGAAGGGAAGAGGCAGCATCACCTCAGCCCCGCCTGCTCCTTTCCAGCATGGGTGTCCCCAATTCTAGGGGGGTGGCTGCTGTCCCACTAAGAGGGGCCACAAGGCCCTAGGCTCTTACTGTGCCGGCCCAAGTGAGACCCTGAGGCCTTTGGGAGGCATTGGGCTAGGGGCCGAAGAATCTGTCTGTCCTCCCATCACCTCCCCTGCGGGTAATCCATTCTGAATTCAGCCTCTCAGGTACAGGCAGGGACGATGTGTCTGTCAGTTAGGGTTAGCCAGTATTTTTGATTCCTGCCATGGGAATCAGCACATAACCATGATCACAAGAGAGCCGAGACCTTGTGCAGGGGCTGGGCCTCTCCACGTGACTGACCGCAAGTCGCAGTCTGTCTGATGGTCCCTGCATGCCATCAGGCATTCCTGGGTTGGAGCGTTACGTCTGCCCGGGTAGCCCACCTTGTGGAGCCAAGGAGGATGTCAGGGCTGGTTGCAGAGGTAGATGCCCTGCTCAGCACCATCTGGGCTTGTCTGTTCTGGCACCGCCCCTTGCTTCTCTTCTCCAGCCTGTCAATATCCTGTCCCCCCACCCCCCATCACCCAGCCATGATTTAAAGTTGCAGATTCCAGCAAGGCCACATGGTGGCCCCAAGCAACTCAGAAATGGCCTCATGGAGGCTGGAACTTAGAGTGGCATCGTAGTACCTTTGGGCAGGTGTCCCTCTGTCATCTTTGCCACATGACTTTGCATTTGTTCTCTGTGTGGTCTTCTTAACGACCCTGCTAGGTGGGCAAGTGGTTGTGGAAATAGACAGAGCAGTGATTATCTTTGCTTTGCAGAAACTGAGTCACAGAGAGATGAAGAGAACGATTGGGTTGACATGCCATCACTGACACTGGGGTCTCCAAGTCCCCTGACCTGGGCTGTCTCACACTAGGCTGTCACTGTTCCTGTGAAAGGAAAGAGCCCTGGCACTGCTTATGCTCAAACCTCTTCCCAGGGGTGCCTGGCCTGCACATCTCAGGGATTTGGGGAGCAAGTGTTTCTTCATGGGTGGGTGGGCATGTGCCAAACTAGACTGAGGGGTGATGGGAAGGGGATGCTAGGGTAATTTTTTTTTTTTTGGCCGGGGGATGAATCCAAGCCCAGGGCTGCCCCCTTTCTCCCTGTTGTAATCGTTTGCCCTTCTTTGTTTCTGTCCCCCAAGATGATGAAGATGAGGAGGTACCTGGGCCCTCGAGGCAGCCTCTCCGGGTGCCCCTGCAGCGGTCACTGGACGAAGAGGCCCACCTGGCCAGGCCCACCCTGCTCCGCTCATCCTCCTCTTCAGACCAGTCTGAGACAGTGGGCCCCAAGCCAGAGACCCTGCCCCGGCCCTCGCCCCAGGCCCAGGCCACCTGCAGGACCCCTCGGCCACACCCCAACCCGCCCAACATGGGCCTTGACTGGCAGCTTCTCCACGCCCACACCCAGCAGACTGAGATGTTCCAGCAGTTCTGCCAGCAGCTGGTGACTGTGCACCGGGACATGGCAAACAGCATGCACGTTATCAGCCAGGCCATGGCCGAGCTGACCAGCCGCATCAGTCAGATGTGCCAGACGCTGACAGAGATCCGGGATGGGGTTCAGGCATCTCAGCGGGGGCCAGATGGGGCTGCCCCCATGGGCTCTACCCCCCAGGCCGAGGCTCCCCCACCGGAGCCCCCGCAAGCTCCCCCGTCACCAGCCCCAGCACCAGCCCCTGCACGGACTACCAGGTCTCGGAAGAGAAAGCACAATTTCTAACCCGGCCAGTCTGCACTAGGAGGAAGAGTGCTGGAGGAGGGGTGTCGGGCCTTGAGACAGGGGCCAGTCTCTTGTGTCCAGGACTGATGACCCTTGTGGGATATTGGGGGGACTGTCACCTCCTCACCGAGTGCAGGCCGGCTGCCCTGTGCTCTAACAAAGCGTGTATTCAGCCCTCTCATCTTTGGCAGATGCTCAAGATTCAGGAAAAGCTCCCTGCTTGATGCTTGCTTGGCCTGGAGGGTCCGCCTCCTTGAGGGTCAGCCTCTTTTTGGTCTGCACCCCATGGCAGCAGGTCTTGCAGGGAAGAGGGGAACAGGCATGAGGAGCATCCAAATGGAACCCTGCTTTCCATCCTCAGGGCTGCTGCGTCAGCCTCCCAGGCCCTAATTCTACTGCTTTTGAAGCGGGCGAGGCCTGAGGATGGGCAGGTGGCACTCGGCCCTTCCAGGAGGGGTCTGTCCTCCCCTCCCCCAGGGCCAGGGCCCTGGCTTGGCCTCCCGCTTTCCCTCCTGTGTGCGTGTGCTCAGCTGCTGTGCTTGCCTTTTGTGGAGTGGGAAGAAGAATGGGATGACGTCGCAGGAAGGTGAAGACTACCTGGCGTTCTTAGTGAGAGCACTGGATGCCTTTCCCTGCACTGCAAGTGTGCGATCTCAGTGGGTTCTCAGGACAGCCGGGAGGCAGCCAAGTCGGGTATTATTATCCTCATGATTGCCATTATCATCTGCATTTCATAGATGACAAATGACACAGCAGTCGGGGGTGTGGGGAGTGGGCAGGACTGGAAGCCAGGTCTGTGGAGTTCTCAGCTCCCCTGTGGGAGGCCAGATCTGGTGTTGGGAAGGGTATTGCTCCCTGCCTGCCCCGCCTCAGCTCTCCTGAGTGGCAATCGGGGGCAGCAGCAGCATTTAGAAGGTGAGTCCACCCACCCTGCCCTGGCATGAAGGCTGACAGCCAGTGGCTGGGGAGAGGCAGTGCCCAAGTCTCAGGATCCAGAAGGAGACCCTTCCTCTGGCTTCTAAAAGAACCCAGGGCCCAGCCGGGCCCCTGTCCGTTCCAGGTTCCAGCATGCCTCGCCTCTGCTTGCTTGGGCTGCATACGCATTTTCTACACAGATCTGTAGCTCCATGTTTCGTTTTGGAGTGTGGGGAGCAAGCCAGGGTCTTCGAGTTAGGGAGGGAGGTGGGGGTGGCAGATGCAAGCTTAGCTTGGACATGGGTGCGGCTCAGCTCTGTGTCCTTCGCTCCCCGGCCTAAGGCTGACCCTGGCAGAGACTCTCATACCCCAGCCCCCCACCCCCCCCACGCCTGCCTCCGGAGCCATAGTAGGGCTGGGAGGAACTGCTATAGCCAGTGCCTGCCTGGCTGTTCCTAGAGTGCTGCTTCTAAACCCAGACCAAGCTTTGTCCCTTGTAGGGAGAATGGAGGGCAACTGCAGTGTCCCTGTGGCCTTGGCTTCATCTCCTCATTCTGTGGTTCTTTGGGGGTTCCCAGTCCCCCAAACTGAACACTCACGCCCCTGTCCAATAGCCCGATGGCTTGATTATTGCCTGGCATTGCCTGGCCCTTCGATGCTGGAATCAAAGATTGCCTTCCCAAGTATTTTTGTTAAGATGGCAATAAAAAGAAATTGATCTCACACTTGGAACACACCCAGTCTCCAGGATCTTTCTTTGGTCTGTATTCTCTTTCTTCGCTTCCTGTGAAAACCTCAAGGCCCCCAAAGCAGGGGTTAGATGACTAAGGGAAAGCGTGCTGGCGAGAGGGGCTCAAGTGCCCCTGGCGTTTCCCAGATCCCATAAGCTCTCAGATGCCCCATATTCAGCTCCATGCAAGGCCCTTAGAGGAAAGGAAAGGAGCGGATGGGCTGAGGGAGACAAAGCATCCATGTATGAAACCGTTCAGCTACATTTAATTTCTCTGTACATCAAGAGTGAGATGGTGCTAAATGAATTTTACCTTTTATTCCCCAAAAAGAAATTAGGGGTCCTGGGAAAAAAATCACCATTCCTGGCAGGAAACTCCAGAAAGGTCAGGGGCTATCCATTTGCCATGTACCCTGAGGCACAAGCTTTCTTGAGATACCGCCCCACTGATCCAGGCATCTCTGTCATAGGTAAGACCCTGCCCACCTAGATCTGAGGCTTCTCAAAGTAACTGCAGCAGCTTCCTCTGGCTCTTCTTGGGGGTCTCCTCAGCAGGTAGGGGGCCTCCTAGCAGGTGTATTGCCCTGGCTTAGCGCCCGTCACACAGAGAGGTTCTCCCAAGCAGGAAATCCCCAAGTCCTGACCAGAGATTCATCCCCATTCTGGAAGGTTCCAGCCTGCCTTTGACCTCTAGGAATCTAGGTCATCCTTTGCCATTCTTGTACAATAAGTCATGCCCATGGAAATCAAGATAATCTATTTCCAGGAGATGCAAAGATACTGTGAAACCGGCCCTGGGGTCTTTGCCATCATAAGCAGTGACTGGCTGGCCTCTCCCTCTGGGTCTGAAGAGCAAATGGGTCAAGTTGAAAGCAGCAGAGGGGACAGAGAGATGAAAAGACTGATCAACTTCATATGGAAAAGATTTCAGTTTCTTTTTCTTGGCTTCAGTGGGGATTGTGGGGCTAGCACATCAAAACAGGAAGGTGAAACGGGGCCAGTGGATGGAAATGAATGGGCCGCCAATTTCAGCCTGAGATAGGGAAGTCCCTTCTAAGAGTCTGAGGCCTTCAGCCATGCCAAGCACCAGCTGGGTGGTGGTTTGTCAGAGCCTCTGTGGATGCATGATCCAAAGGCCATCCCAGCCCGAGACCTAAATGCATGTGGGAACACAGAGTCCAACCTCTCCTCAGTCAGCCTTTTCCCATTTCTGCCTCTGTGACCAATGAGCTTCCTTTCCATAGGAGACATACTCACTGAGCAGGAGAGTCTGAGCCTGGGCTTCATCTGTCCCTTCTGACAAAATGGATGCCCCCTAGGTTATTTTCTCACTGGAGTTAGAACTGGTAGTCATTTCCTGACCCAGCTATTAAATATGGTGCATTTGATAAGACACAGTGGTTAAGGTCTGAGAAGTATGGTCTTAGTGTCTGTCTATCCAGTACCCAAAGTCAGTGAGGAGGTCAGAATAAAAAACAATCCATTGTCATCATGAAAGGTTCAGTCCCGAACACACCCTCCCATACCACCCGCCCCTTTGATTGCTTCAAAGGTCCCCAGCTCTGTGGCTCTGATTTGAAATGCTATCAAATGAGCACGGACATTTTCAGAGCAGCCTGTGCTAGGCATTTTCCACTTCCCTTCTGACTCCTCTCCAACGAGGTAGATTGTCACTCCCTGGAAGCCTTCTGTGCTCTTCCACACCTGCGGCCATGGAGTGGGACAGGCATGGTTCTGCATAAAGGGACTGTCGTGTGAGGATGGAAGGGTTCTGGGAGTGGATCAAGCCATTGGGTGTTACTGCGGAATACTTAAAAGGGCAAGACCTGATTAGAGGTACAGTAATTGGTGCTGAGATTTAACTGGCTCCACTTAGCTTTGCCTCAGGAATTGTATAGCGTAAACATCTTCTCAGGGGAATGGGTTGTTACGATTCACTGAGAGTTGCCATATATATCATATGTCAAATACCAAGTTTCAAAACAACCAGATGTTGAACAAATTCTGATCTTTGATGCTACTTTGTGATGGATACAAAGATTTGGGGTTCTCTTCCTAAATATTGATTCTTTTTTGGGGTAGGAAAACACCAGGAGGTGGAAGGGGAAATGGCATCTTTCTAAACCTTCTGACATATTTAGAAGTTGCCCTTTAGAATAAATCCCTGATGGTTAGCTGTTCCTCATCTCTTTTTCTCTTAAAGTTGAGTGTCAGGGAAAAGAGTTCCAGTCTTTGGAGCTTGATGGCTGTTGAGAAACTGAAAAAAGAGAAGACTGTCTTCTTTCCTTATGTTCTGTGATGCAAGTGATCCTTGTGGGGAAAAAGATGACTGAATGGTTTGCCTTCTGTGTCTGGGCGTAGGAAAGTTTGGATCTACCTGAGCTCTGTTCAATGCTACCTGCAAGGTTGGTTAATTTTGGATGTCAAAATGCAAGGCTCACATTCAATTGAGGACTGGAAAATATTTTGCACATTCAGAAGATATCTTAGATATGGAGAAAAGGCAAGTCTCCTGCAATTGGAGAGTTGAGACTGGGAAGTATTCATTTGGAAAGACTTCTGTGGGCCAGTGGTCTTTGTCCCTGAGTTCTTTGTTAATAACAATCAGATCTCTGGCTGGGTGTCAGAGATCACAGGATTGTCTCCACAATTCAGGGACACCGACCCTCACGCTAGATGCTGACGAAAACACAAGATGCATTAGAGCTAAGATCCTGGAGAAAAGCAAGTTCTAGGGTTCTCAGTGCCATAAATCTTGCACATCCAACACCCTCTGAGTGGAGCTCATGACTCATTTCTCTCAAAGGGGTGAAGCAGCCAAAGTTAGTGTTTGCTCTTCCGTCCTCTTTATTCTTACCCCCCACTCTCCAGGGTCTGTTACACGCTGTTGTCACACTGAATAGGTCCGTAGGCTCGAGTGGTCCCCCTTGTAAGGTCACAGCCTCCTCCAGGGCTGAGCAGAGCCAAGGGCACAAGGGACTGTCCAGAGAAGGGGCTGGATGTACGTGAGGGGTGCTACACCTGGGGCACCGGGACTGTAGATTCGAAATGCTGCTGACGGCTATGACTGCCACCACTGCCACCCCGCACTGGAACCGGCGTTCACAGACTTCTTTTTTAAGGGGTGGGAGTGGGAGAAACAGTAATAATTGCTTATTAAGGAAACCTTGGAAAGTACAGAAAATTGCAAAGAAGTCAATCCACCTATAATGGATAATCACCATTAAAACACTGGTATATTTCCTTCAAGCAGTTTGCCGAGGCTTGTTTCTAAAGCATGATTGGAACGATAGTATAAATAGCTTTCAGACCTACTGTTGCCACTCTGCATTATATCAGAACCATTTTTCCATGTCATGACCAATCCTTTGAAAACATTTTTCTGTAGATGAGGAGCATTCCATTGTACAAATATACCATGGTTTATTAAATCATTTCTCTAGTCTTAGACGTTTAGATGTTTCTGCTTTTGAACTATTATAAACAATAGATAGGCAGCATGGCAGTATGCAGGATTTGAATTCTTGGTTTGCATTGTATTGTTATTTTTTTATAAATTTTTCAAAATTGTGGCAACTACACATAACAAAATTTACTATTTTAGCCCTTTTTAAGTGTACAGTTCAGTGGCATTAAGTATATTCACATTGTTGTGCAGCCATCACCACCACTCATCTCCAGAACTCTTTTCATCTTCCTCAGCTAAAACTATAGCCATTAAACACTAATTCCCCATTCCCTGCTCCTGTCCCCCAATCCCTGTCACCCACCGTTCTACTTTCTGTGTCTATGAATTTGACTACTCATATAAGTACCTCATATGAGTGGAATCATACAGCAGTTGTCAGTTCACGCCTGGCGTATTTCATTTAGCATGTGTCTTCAAGGTTCATTCATGTAGCATATGTCAGAATTTCCTTCTTTTTAGGGCTGAATAATATTCCATTAAATGCATAGACCATATTTTGTTTATCAAATTCATCCATTAATGGACACTTGGGTTGCTTCCACCTTTTGACTATTGTGAGTAATGCTGCTATGAACCTGGTGTACAAATACTTGGTGGGGTTCATATTGCCAATTATTTCCCAAAGGGTTGTGCCAGTTTATTCATCATTATGAATATGAAGGCTCTTTTCTCGCCACCTTTGCAAATACAGATACTATCATTAAAAAAGATTTTTGTGCCAATGAGACAAATGTGCTACTTCGCATTTCTTTCCTTATTAGTGATGCTGAATACTTTTCATGTGTTCATGACCCATTTGAATTTTTTCTGTGAATTATTGTTTTCCCTGGATTGCTCCTAATATAATCCTTTGGACTTCACCAGTCAGACAGACTTTGATTTCTTCCCTGGCTTTTGAAACAAATCATAGCATAAGGAAAAGGAGTTTATTTTTTACTACAAATTTCCTAGATGCTGGTGTAGCACAGAACGCTAAAACTCCAAGTAATTTCCTCTTGCCCTTTTGATATGTACTCCTCTGCTTCTATGCAGATATTATGTCATCTCACCTTTTGGACTGTTAGAATTGTCATTTCTGGGTGAATGGGTGAGAATCACAGATTCTGAAGGTTTGACAGAACTTTAAAGGTTATCTGGGAATTGCTGAGTTGGTGCTTTACATGCCCACACAGGAGCCATGAGTTCTAGTGGGAAAAGCATAGACCTCAAAGCTCCATCTCACATTTCTTAGCTGTGTGACCTTGGGCAAGTCACTTCGCCTCTCAAAGCCTCAGTTTCCTTACCATAAAATAACTTTGATTAACCCGTGATGGCTAACTTTTCCTCGCCTCGTATTTACTTTCTCTTCTATTTACCTGCTATTTTAAAATATCTTGATCTTTAGTATTTATTAATTGATCTCTTGGTCACCCTTGTCACATGGATTATTTCTGCTAGGTTTTGTGAAATACTGAAAATAGTTCAAGGACCCCATTCTTACCACCATCAGAGACCTGCGGGTGTCGGGGGATCCCTGTGGTTAGAAGTTGGTGAACAGTAGACAAGGTGATCTGTCAATTTTCCAATCACCTTTATATCTGGTGTTGAATCTTATATTTAGTAGAATCTGGGAGTTAGGCAAGGAGGTAGTCATTTCCAGCCTCAGAAAACAGAGAGCCTTAAAGATTCAGAGTTTTGCTCAAGGTCACACAAAACCGTGGTATTGAGACAAGGGACTGGCTCTCACTGGTGTTCCTTTCCTCTGCAGGGCAGCCACCCTGTAGACTTTTGCACGTGTCCACATGCTTGTGGGCTCTTAACCACCATCACTGGACCAACACTGTGCCCAGCACCAGCGGGCACTCACCAAGGTGTGGCCCATGCATTCTCACCTGTCCCCCTTGTCCCCAGGTACGTGGTCATCTCCCGGGAGGAGAGGGAGCAGAACCTGTTGGCGTTCCAGCACAGCGAGCACATCTACTTCCGGACGTGCCGGGACATACGGCCCGGGGAGCGGCTGCGGGTCTGGTACAGCGAGGACTATATGAAGCGCCTGCACAGCATGTCTCAGGAAACCATCCACCGAAATCTGGCCAGAGGTGAGTGCCCACCCTCGAGGTGAGGGCCATACCTGCCGCTGCCGAGCCCCAAGGGAGGCCAGGAATGCTTCTCTAGAAGCCTCCTAAGAAAACTTTTGGGAAATAACAGTATACCCGCAATGGGAAGACCCAGAGAAACGCGGATGAACAGAGGGTCCGGGTCTGAGCAGCATCTCTGGACAAGGCCTTGGGCACCACAATGTGTTCTCCTCCCTAAGAAACAGCCTCAGAAACCCTATTACAGACATTTCAGAGTATCAGGGAAAGAGACAAGGCCCCAAAGCCAAGTACATAAGTTCAATCAAAATTGATCCTATTCTACCCCCGCCCCACCACCACCAAATTGATGGAAAGATGTTATAAACTGCTACTGCTGCAATAATAAAATAGGTAACATTTACTAAGAACTTAATATGTGCTAAGCAGATGTTCTACGGTGTCCCATGTAATCATGACAACAGGCCCTACCCTGTGCTAAGAGAATTAACTGGGTAATGTATATAATACATTTAGAGCAGTGTCTATCTTGACCATAGTAAGCCCTCAATTGTAGACTTTTAATACTAATGACCCCATGTGGATTATTATCTGCATCTTATGTAGAAACTGAGCATCAGATAAATACAGCGACTCACCCAGGGTCACATGGCTAGGAAGGGCAGAGCTGGGTTTCTAACCCACACCTGTCAAGTCCAGGCTGTAAGCTTTAATCTATAATGTTATGTGGCCTCCCAGACAAAACTAGTTTCTTCCCTGCTTCCTCCTGGTCTCATTCCTAGAAGTCCTAATGATATGTTGTAAAAAACAAACAAACAAACAAACAAACCTGTATCTGTTAGAAGGTCTGAAGGTGACCTTAGGCGTGGGTGGTGGCCTGGTGGGTGAGATGTCCATCCAGGCTCGATTTTCATGAGTCATTTGAAAGTGGTTTTAAATACTCTCCAGCCCTTCGCCCTTTGCCTCTTGACTCCATCCTCAGCCTGGCCAGGGCAAACTGGGGCATTCAGGTCCTTCTTTCCATGGGACCTTCCTTGCACTAAACCCACACATCCAAAGACTCAGAGACCATTTGGTCCCAGGAAACAAGGCTATACCCAAGCCCCACTGTATCGTATTTCTGATCAACCTACTTCTTGGAAATAAAGCTTCATTTGGAATATGAGTGGAGAAGATGAAAAGGGGATGGGAGTGACCCACTGAAATTAAGTTATCTTTAAAAACAAAACAGACCAAAGCAGATTATGGACATTGAGTGCACAGCGGCTGCCTGACTTGGTAAAAGGTATCTGGTGGTTGGATGGGCAGTGAGAGGAGACCCAATAGACATACTCGTCTCTTGTCTTCGGATCTGGGGGTTGGGCACATGCTGATTTCACTTGGGAAGGCATGTTTCCGTGATGAGATTGCCATGGTTGCCATTTGACCGCCGGAGATGCCTTCTGTAAAAGCATCTGGTACGTAGTAGGTGCTCAGCATGCTCTTTGCCGAATGGATAAAAGAAGAAATGAATGAAGACAGCCAAGAAGCTTCCAAAAGAATCATACCACCAGAAGAAAAGAAAACCAAGAGAAGTCATATCTGAGGACACAGGTTTCAACCCTTGGCCATAATTTTTTTGAATTCTTCTGGATTTGTAATCTTTTTTTTTCCCCCCCAGTGTCTTCTCCAAAGCACCTCAAGATGCGTCATTCCTAGAGAGCCCTGAGACCCAAGGGGAATGCTCAGAAAAGGGCGTGAGCTTTCAGGAGTGGTTCAGAGGAGCGTGGCAGACAAACTTGAAGTGAGATACACCAAGGCATGTGAAGATACAGGAGGAAGGAGGGTCTATTCCTGGCCAGGCTGAGAAGTAGGAAACAGGAAGGAAACTGAAAACCACCGTGGGGCAGGGCCAGAGCAGTGGGTGTGCTTGGTTCTGAAGCCCTTGGGTGCAGTCATGGAGCTCAGCGGTCTTTAGACATGGTGTCTCTGTAGCCTGTATTCTTGGCAGACTCTGGAAATGGGTAGTGGTGTCTTAGTCTGTGTGCCGGTCCTGCTCTGGAAGGGGTTCCCCCAAGCTCAGTCACTTAGGGTCTCACGTGGAAGGAGGCATCTTCATAACTGGAGTCTGGAGCCCTGATAAAGCCGGAGCATGAGTTATGAGTTCTTTTTAAGTAGGGGCATTAGTTGGAGCCCAGAAATGCTTCCTGAAGAGAGTATAAATTATTCTTTTGTGGTTATCTTGTAAGAAAAGGATGCATCTAATGTATGTATTCAAAGAATTTATGTTATTTGATCTACTTTGAGTCATTAATTTACTTTGTGGTGTTTCCCTTTATGTTGTACGGGAGCTTTAGAATCAATGTCATAATGCTTCAAGGTCTTTTTTGGCCCATAGATTTTTCTGGAAGCCTTGAGTCCAAAGAGGTCTCTCGCTCCTCCTGGGACATTTGAAGTACCTTGTCTCTGAGCAGAGAGGCATGAGGAATCCCTGGTGATGAGTAACCCTGATCTCTGGGTATCCTCAGCTGTTTGCTGTCTGATTGGTCTGCTAGAAGGTGAAAGGGTGGACGTTGACTTTTAGAGACTCTGATTACACAAGTGTCATATCTGATGTGTACAAATAGGTTGCATTTTTAAAAAGTTCCCTTCGTCACCCTTTTTGCCCCTTAGTTGTTATAGAAATGCAGGTTGCGTGGAGTTACCTCAGTTTCAGGAGCCTTGGAGATAAGGTCATGCCCTAAGCATTTATGGGAGGACACAAAAGGGGGATTCTGAATAGGTACTTGCTTTTGTGCTGCTACCTGTAAGAAAGCTGGCGTCATACATGGACCAGGGCACAGCACCCCATGCCAGATATGGGAAGTCAAGGTGGATCATCTGGATTGCACATGGAAATGCCTTGGCCTTCGCTCAGAGGTCTTTAGCAAATGCAGTTCTCAGAAACCTAATTGCAGCATATATTCAGGTTAAGTCTTTGCTCAGAGTCACATCTCCCAGAGTCCACCCCTGGTCTAGGAAGTCTGAGGTTTCCTCGTGTCACAGGCTTCTGTCAGGAACTTCTGAGGATCCCCCCCTTAGCAATCTGTCCCTCCAGGCAACATTGGCACTTGTACAGTAATTGATAAAACTGTTCTGGTTATTTTAAAGAATTGGGCTAAAATAATTTATTGTTGGGGAGCTCACCAAAGTTTTTTGAAGTCATTTACGTGATAGAAAGAAATAGAAAAGGAAGCGTTCGTTGCATTGTTAGGTAAAGAAACACAGCTATATTTGGAGAATGCTTTGGGTCAATGTGGTCACATTGTTCTTTATCTTGTTGGAGGCTGCCATCTTGGAGCCCGCAGCAACTGTAAGATGTCTCCCATCTTCCATTGTCTTCCTGCCTTCGTTATTAGTGAGAACCTCAAGAGATTCAGGTCATGCTTTCTCACGTACTCTTAGTCTTCTGATTACTGGGAGAATTGGAAAGGAACAGTTGCCATAAGTGGACTTTGCCCTAAGTGGGCTATCTCCAGAGTGAAGGAGGTGGAAAGAGTGGGACTCGGTATTTTGTGTGTACCTTTTACCAAGTCGAAGCAGCCATCTTCTAATTGCTAGGACTGGACGATGAGCCTGGAGGGGTGGGGAATCCATGCGCACTTAGCTCTCAGGTATGTTACCGACCACCCATGTGATTGCGTAGGATGTCCTCTTCTAGGGTGATAGGATGGCAAGTACCTTTGCAAGAACTACCCTCCCCTATAGCATTCTCTCACCTTATAAATGGGGAGCTTATATACATAAGACTTCATTGAAACAGCCTCTTGAAAAAGAATTCATCTTGCTTTTTCGGGTCCTCCAGACCCCATGATCCACCAAGTGACCTGCCTCTCCCTTTTTGTCACACCTGCCCCACGAGGCCACCTAGAGGGATGTGACAAGCAACTTCCTAACTGGAGGCCTGCTTTGTTTTCGTTTTTGTTTTTTTTGCTGGTTTCTCCACCCGGGGCTTTTCCCCACTTCCTCACACCCTGGTTTTCCTTCCTAGGAGAGAAGCGGTCGCAGAGGGAGAAGTCTGAGCAGGCTCTGGATGACCCAGAGGACTTGAGGGGTCCCCTTCAGCTCCCCGTGTTGAGACAGGGCAAAAGTCCCTACAAGCGTGGCTTTGACGAGGGGGACATGCACCCCCAGGCCAAGAAGAAGAAAATTGACCTCATTTTCAAGGATGTGTTGGAGGCCTCACTGGAATCTGCAAAAGTGGAAGCCCACCAGCTGGCACTGAGCACCTCGCTGGTCATCAGGAAAGTCCCCAAATACCAGGACGATGCCTACGGTCGGTGTGCAATGACCATGTCGCATGGCATGCAGAATGTCAGCCGGACCCAAGGGGAAGGGGACTGGAAGACCCCTCAAGAGGCTGCCACAGAGCCAGGCCCATTGGAGGATGAAGAGGAGGAGCCTTCGTCGTTCAAGGCCGACAGTCCCGCCGAAGCCTCCCTTGCATCCGACCCCCACGAGCTTCCCACCACCTCCTTTTGCCCTAACTGTATTCGCCTAAAGAAGAAAGTCCGAGAACTCCAGGCAGAGCTAGACATGCTTAAGTCTGGGAAGCTTCCTGAGCCCCCCGTATTGCCAGCACAGGTACTGGAGCTCCCAGAGTTCTCAGATCCTGCAGGTAAGTCAGAGTGGATGTTGTCGGAGGGAAGCGCACACGGTGGGCAGTATGAGGGTGGCTTGGCATGCTCTGCTGGATACCTTCAGACCTGGAGACCTGAGGCATGTGATGCAGAGGTGAGGTCTGGCTGCCACCTGCGCCCTCCGGTGCCTGCCTCTGACAGGCCACTTTGCAGCTCCAGTGGGTGCTTCATGTCTTGCCCTGTATTCTCCTTGTCAATAAAGGAAGTTCCGCTGCAGACGGGGTGTGTGCTGTGTTCTTGACCCGTTGCCTTTCTCTGGTGGCCCTAGTGGTGTCTGACCCCAAAGCCCAACTTCAAAACCCAGTCTTTCTCTCTGCTCAGTCCCAAGCAGGGTGCCCTGTCAGGGAGCGCTTCCGGCCTTCCCAAACTCAGTCCAGGAACACAGCCTCCTTCTTCTCTTCCCGAATTGCTGTTCTGCCATACATGGCCCCATCTCCCAACCTGGAGTCTCAGAAGAACTGGGATTTAGGGCATTCGGCTTCATGCCTCTGCCCTTTCCTGCGGCTGCCTGGATCTCGGAGAGCTGTTGACAATGAGGAAGGTTTTCCAGTACACATCTGCAGCTGAGTTAGAGTATTTACATAGCACTTCCTATTTTAACCACATCCCTTAGCTTCAGAATGAGGTGTTTCAGATATTCAAAGCATGCATCTTAACTAAACTGTGTTCTGATCCAGAAATAACCCAGGGCCGTGCCAAAGCTAGCTCCATCTGAGGGCAGCACGCCTCCCCCCGACCATGTTAGGTGTGGGACAAATGAGTCCCACGTCCTCGCTCTCTGACTTGGGGATGTTTGATGTGTTTGTTCCTCCATCGGATCTGCTCTCCTGGTGGTGTTTGTCAGTTGATACCAAACATTGAAGTTCCTTGAGCGCCCACTTGTGGACGGTGAGGGCAGGCAGCCTGGAGCATGGTGGCCTCCACCGATAATCCACAAAGAGGAGTTGACGTGGGTGACCATAGTGCTTCTAAATAAATTCTAGGCTGGGAGTCGGTCCGTCTTAGGAATTGGCTTGTGTATCACGCAGTCTGACACTTACCTTTCGGGAAATGTTCCCTATTCATTTTAGAAAAGTCAATGCTTTTTCCCCCTGGGTGTAAATGTCCGTTTCCCATTTGTCTTCCAGCCTCAGAGAGCATGGTCTCCGGCCCCGCCATCATGGAGGACGATGACCAGGAGGTTGACTCGGCAGATGAATCTGTCTCGAATGATATGATGACTGCCACCGACGAGCCCTCCAAGATGTCATCTGCCACTGGGCGCCGAATCCGGCGCTTTAAGCAGGAGTGGCTGAAGAAGTTCTGGTTCCTGCGGTACTCCCCGACCCTCAACGAGATGTGGTGCCACGTCTGCCGCCAGTACACCGTGCAGTCCTCCCGCACCTCGGCCTTCATTATTGGCTCCAAGCAGTTCAAGATCCACACCATCAAACTGCACAGCCAGAGCAACCTGCACAAGAAGTGCCTGCAGTTGTACAAGCTCCGCATGCACCCCGAGAAGACGGAGGAGATGTGCCGCAACATGACCCTGCTCTTCAACACTGCCTACCACCTGGCCCTCGAGGGCAGGCCCTACCTGGACTTCCGGCCCCTGGCTGAGCTGCTGAGGAAGTGCGAGCTCAAGGTGGTGGACCAGTACATGAACGAGGGGGACTGCCAGATCCTCATCCATCATATCGCCCGGGCGCTGCGGGAAGACCTGGTGGAGCGCATCCGCCAGTCGCCTTTCCTCAGCATCATTCTGGATGGGCAGAGCGACGACCTGCTGGCCGACACAGTGGCTGTCTATGTCCAATACACCAGCAGCGACGGGCCCCCGGCCACCGAGTTCCTGTCCCTGCAGGAACTGGGGTTCTCAAGCACAGAGAGCTATCTCCAGGCTCTTGATCGAGCCTTTTCTGCCTTGGGCATCCGGTTGCAGGAGGAGAAGCCAACCGTTGGTTTGGGCGTAGACGGGGCCAATGTCACAGCCAGCCTGCGCGCCAGCATGTTCATGACGATCCGCAAGACACTGCCTTGGCTGCTGTGCCTGCCCTTCATGGTACACCGGCCCCACCTAGAAATCCTGGATGCCATCAGCGGGAAGGAGCTTCCCTGCCTGGAGGAGCTGGAGAATAACCTGAAGCAGCTGCTGAGTTTCTACCGGTACTCGCCGCGCCTTATGTGCGAGCTGCGGTCCACGGCCTCCACCCTCTGCGAGGAGACAGAGTTCCTAGGGGACATCCGGGCTGTGAGGTGGATCATCGGTGAGCAGAATGTCCTCAACGCCCTCATCAAGGACTACCTGGAGGTGGTGGCCCACCTCAAGGATGTCAGCAGCCAGACCCAGCGGGCAGACGCCTCGGCCATCGCGCTGGCCCTGCTGCAGTTCCTCATGGACTACCAGTCCATCAAGCTCATCTACTTCCTTCTGGACGTGATCGCTGTGCTCTCACGCCTGGCCTACGTCTTCCAGGGGGAGTACCTCCTGGTGTCCCAGGTGGATGACAAGATCGAGGAGGCCATCCAGGAGATCAGCCGACTGGCCGATTCCCCGGGGGAATACCTGCAGGAGTTCGAGGAGAACTTCCGTGAGAGCTTCAATGGCATTGCGATGAAGAACCTCAGGGTGGCCGAGGCCAAGTTCCAGTCCATCAGGGAGAAGATCTGCCAGAAGACCCAAGTGATCCTGGCTCAGAGGTTCGATTCCCGCAGCCGGATCTTTGTGAAGGCCTGCCAGGTATTTGACCTGGCCGCCTGGCCCAGGAACAGCGAGGAGCTCATGAGCTATGGCAAGGAGGATATGGTTCAGATATTTGATCACCTGGAGGCCATCCCGACCTTTTCCCGGGACGTCTGTAGGGAAGGGCTGGACCCCCGGGGGAGTCTGTTGATGGAGTGGCGAGAACTCAAGGCTGATTACTATACCAAAAACGGCTTCAAAGACCTGATTGGCCATATTTGCAAGTACAAACAGAGGTTTCCGCTCTTGAACAAGATTATCCAGGTCCTCAAGGTCCTCCCCACTTCCACGGCTTGCTGCGAGAAAGGCCGAAATGCCCTGCAGCGAGTTCGCAAAAACCACCGCTCCCGCCTGACCCTGGAGCAGCTGAGTGACTTGTTGACAATCGCAGTAAACGGCCCGCCCATTGCCAACTTTGACGCCAAGCGAGCCCTGGACAGCTGGTTCGAAGAGAAGTCTGGCAACAGTTACACACTATCTGCCGAGGTCCTCAGCAGGATGTCTGCGCTGGAACAGAAGCCGGTGCTACAGACCGTGGACCACGGGTCAGAGTTTTATCCAGACATTTAGGGAGCCAGCGTCGCAGAATTCACTAAGCTGTTGAATATTTTTTTAACCTATACTCATAAGCTTTGATATATTATATAAATATATATTATATTATATATATATACATATATATATATATATAAACCCACACTGAAAATTTTTAAAAACTGAGGTGACACATCCATCAAGCTACTGGGAGCTTTCAGAAAGGAATAATGTCAGAAACTAACTCTTGTCTACAAAATTTGGCAGCTGCAACATACGTTGCAACTCATTTTCATTCACAGAAGCATGTGCTGGGAGCCACACGTGTTCCCACCTAACGGTCAACCAACAGCATAAGCTAAAATGACGGGTCTCTGTCATCACCTTTAGGTAGCTCGTTTTGTTCATGTTTTCGTTTGGGGGGTTGAGGGCCTTGGGTTGGGGTTTATGTTCTTGCCGTTCCTTTTCTCGTTTGGTTTTATGATGGGGGTTTCTTGGCCTCTTCGTTGACAACGCTGGTCCAGTTGAACCCAATCTCTGATTTTGGATAGGGTGGGGTGCGTATCTGGATTGGGCTGTTTGACTTGCTCCCTCTCCCACCTGACTTCAGTTTGAGAGATTTTTAGTCATTTCCGGACGAGTGTTCTTTCACTGTCTTAGAAACATAAGTGTTGGTTAAACTGTGACACCCATCACCCCCCCACCTCTGTCACCTCTCCCATCCCTAGGTTGTTGATTTTCCCCTTCCGGTCCCTTGGATCCTAAAGATATTACCTGTTATACTGAAGGCAAAATTGCCTGACTACCGAGCTTGAAATCCTGGGGAAGGAAGGGGGCGGGGGTGAGATTTTTGCATTCCTGTTTTCTACATGGTGTAGGATAAAATAATCAAATTCCATTCAGACCCAGGGCTATTGGAGAAATGAAGAGCCAAGAAATCCAGACCCCAACGGGCAGCGATTTTGGGCTAAAAACAAGTAAAATGAAAAATATGTATTCGATTTACATGAATAATTTATAATCTCTGTCTTTATAATCATATAATGTGTTGGGGGTATTTTTTTTCCTTTGATAATCAAGAAATGCCTGCTATAGTTTAGTGGCAGGAGATGCCAATGCAAGTTGTGCCCCGGATAATGCATAACTCAAATGAGAAGTCTCTAGAGATTCAGTCCTTCTGCAACAGGCTGATAACCAGCCCTACAAGCTGGCAGGAAGGTAGTAGGAAACTGGGGGATGCATCTATGCCTATGAACACTTCCTTTTGTGAACAGGGTAGAGATGTCCTAAAAGAAAGGAATAAACGAGGGGTAAGATAGGACTCTCAAGGCATCAGCCTACACACACACGCACACATACACACAACACCACGAAATAAGCTTTAGAAATAGCCACTTGCCTACTCCCTGGGGCAAGTAGTGGTTTAATCTAGAGGAGTCGGATCAATGCTCTTTTCATTCACTTCACTACCGGTATACCTCGCAAGGGAGTTTTTAAAACTATGTGCGTGAGCTGTTAAAAACTTCTGTTCATGTTTTCATACCTGATTTATGCATATTTGATATGCAGAGATCCTGTATCATGGGTGCAGGTCATATTTTGGGGAGGGAAAATCTATGTTGTCCATGGTCAGTTAGGGAACCACCCTTCTCAGTTGGCAGAGGGTGGGCAAAGGATGGTGTGATCTGGCCACAGGCAAGGCCCCAGTGTCCCCAACCTGCTTGGCTCAGACATTAGAAAACTGTGGTGGCTTCCTTCCTTCTTGGTTTATCTTGTCTCCGAGGCCTCATGCCACCGGTGAGAACCATAGTGGAGACGTCATCAACACTGAACATGTCACCCCCCCCTTCCTGTCCTGCCAGTCCCTTCATCCCCCCGACACACACAGATCCCTCCCCCCACCCCCATGGTCTTGGTGCTAAGATAACTTTAGAATCATTGCTGCTAGTCGATAGCTTTTCATTATATAAATATATTATATATATATTATATATTATTTTTGAAACTTTTTTTTGTTTGTTTTAAACAGTGATGTAGCATGTTAAAAGAAACAAAAACGAACTGGTTTTCTCTGACTGTCCCACTGCCAGGCCTCATATGCTGCCTTCTTCAACAAATCAATGCACCCCCTGCCTGGTGACATTCATCCCCCAAGCCGCCTTCCCCAGTGGCCTGTACTTCCCCACCCTCCTCTGAACCAGGAGAGCATTAGCAGGAACTAGCAAGGAAGGACTCAAAGCTCTTTCTGATGCTTTGAAATCCCCAGCCTCATTCCACTCCTCCACTTTAAGCTGATGTCGCTTCCCCCCGCCACCCCACACCTCCCATTAGGGTCAGTAACTGTGGTCAAGTGGGATGCTATTGCAAAGCACAAGGCTCCACGTCTCCCTCCCCAGCCTCCTCTCCACCACAGACACAGGCTAAGATGAGTTGAAGGCAGAGGAGGGCGGCAAGGTAGGCCTCAGTGGGGGCAAAACCAGTAGGCTGGGGTCCTTTCTTCTAGCCAACAGCTGCCTTATCCCTTCTCTTCCCTCTACCCCCACTCCGCCCCACCCATGACTTAGGGACCCCCTAGACCACTCATTTGCAAACCAGGAAGAGACTCATTAGTAGCTGCTTGAGCACCTAGTCCGGGCTGCTAATGTGTTCTCTCCAGAGGCCCTGGCCAAACTTAGCTCAGTTTTTATCCAGAGGGGAAAAGTATCCTTTGGACCAGTGCCATTGTCAACCCTGTATCTTCTGAGAGAGCCGGGAGCCGGTGACCTGCTTCTGGGGTAGAAGCAAAGGGCTGCTGCTAGCAGCATGTGGCTATAGGTGGCCACCTGCTGAGCCAGGGTCCAGAACAGAGAGGATGAACTCTCTGGAGGGTCTTGAAGTTTGGCAAGGTGCCTCTCAAACTCTGGATGCCCATGACCTCTGCTGAATTCAGCCAGGCCCGGCCGTGTTAGACACGCTGAAGGCCACTTTGCCTTGGGATAGGGAGTAACCAGGGAATAGTCGGGGTGACACACCACTGTAATTTACGTAGGGACTTTTCTCAGCCTGGATGCTCCTAGGAGGCTCAGAGCTTCTGTCCTGTGAATGCTGCATGTGATTACCTGTGATTTCTTTCACAGGTGTTTCCCACTCTCTGCCTCCTTGAGGAGGACTCTTGGGTCGACGGGACCTTCAGGGTCTAGCCCAGGGAACCACATGCTTGGCTAGCCTAACTTCCTTTTGATGGGTATAAAAAACTGTGGCTGCTCAGTCCATGCATCCAAGTGTGGTGGCTTCAGACAAGACATGCCCTTTAACTCAGCCCATGGCTTAGGAATGACAACCTTTGGCTTAGAAGAAAATGTTTGTGTCTCTGGAGTGAAGGCTTGTCCTCATTGGTCTGGCCGATTAGTGACTTTCTTCAGTCTGGAGGAGGCGGGAAGTGAGATCAGGTTTGTGGCCAATTGTGCCAAGCCGATACATTGCAGAGCCTGGGAACCAGAAACCCTTGTGATTAAAATGGTCTGCTTTCCCACCATGGAGGGAGAAACACCCATTGCCATCTAGTGTCTGTGAAACCTGAGGACAGCCCAGCCCTGTCGGCAGCTTTTGCTGTGTTAGAATCCTCAAGCTTTGACTGCCTGATGGAATAGTTTTTTTGTTTGTTTGTTTTGTTTTGTTTTGTTTAGTGACAGCTGTAGTGCTGGGCAAGTTCTTATCTCCTCATTCTCGTTTGAGAATGAGAACAGTTTCCAGCTCCAGAAACCCTGGATAGCTGGGTTCAGTGCAGGACCTGAACCAGGACAGTTGGAGGTCTTGGCCCCAGCCCCTCCTCCATGTATCCAGGTTAAGTCATCTTTCCCAGCCCCTTCTCCTTGACTTGCTTATGTCAACCCTTTAATTTGGAGGAAGAACCTTGTAATTATTTAAGGCAATGTTTAAATAGTTTCCATTCGTTTGGAAGTGATACCAAGAAGGAGAAAACAGGGAAAAGCATGTAGAATGCTAAAAATAATCATGGAGTGACTGAAATGGACTACAGACTTGGTCCGGCCTGGGCTGTTGGGTTGGAGTCATTTTAGCTATTCACCTGGAACCTTATGGAGTCCCGGAAGTGGCCTGGTGGTTGAAATGGGACTTGTCTCCTAGACTCTTTCCCCTTCATTTTTCCTCCTACCCGCTCTAGGAACAGGAATTCTATATCTAGAGCTGGTTTGGGCTTGAAGTCCGGTTTGATTTTCAAGTAGAATTTGTGTTTTTTCTTGATGCTGACACCCAGTTTGAGCAGAAGGCTCCAGTCCCACTGGACCTCACACCCCCTCACCTCTTGAAGTGGCAGGCCCAGCCAGGCCAGCCTGGGACAGCTGAAGCCTGGAGGCCAGGCTGTTTGGAGGGCGCGTGAGCTTGGGACAGTCCCATTCCAGACACTGGCCTCTTGAAGGTAGTGCTGGGTCTTAGAGTCTAGTCTGTTCTTGAGGAAGGAAGATTATGGCAAGAGACACAAAAGCCCCTTTTTCTGCTTAGAGGAAGGCCCCTCACTGCTGTCTGTTCTGGGTGCTTTAGCTGACTGGGTGGAGCTGTGATATTTTAAGGAGCCTTTGAAGTGATCTTTGTGTGTTAGCCAGAGGGAGAAAATGCCCTTTGGGGAGGAAAATGGTACGGCCCTCCTCGTCCATCTGGCTCTCCCTCCCCCACCCTAATCCCTTCAAGTGGTATCGCCCTGGAAATACCTATGCAATCCAGCCTCCCTAGGAGAGAGAGGGCATGGAAGCAAGGGTTTGTGCAGTGTAGAATACAAATGCTACAGCATATATATTGTATATATGGACATAGACAGTACGTATACACACAGAGTAAGAGATTGAATTACATCTATATATAAATAATATTCTATATATTTATACATTTCTATGTTTTAAATAGATATAAAATAAAGTCTATAGAGAGCTGGGAGAGCAATGGGAAAGCCTGTGTTGTGCAAAGAGGGAGGAGGCAGAGCCTTTGCAGGAGGAGACAAGGGAGCTAAGCAGGCAGGGTTTGCTGGGAATGGGGCCTCCTACCAGGAGTGTTGGAGAGGAGAGTAACTGGGTCCCGGCCCTCTCTGTGCACTTTCTCTCCTTCACCACAGGCTTGGTCTGAGGTTGGAAGGAGATAACTCACCCCCTGAGCTCCAGCTGAAGTGCCCCCTACAAGTCTATGCTTAGGTGGTCACTGCTACTCGGCAGTAGTAGGACATGGTCACTGACCCATGGTGTAGGGACCACTGCACAACTTTCCCCAAAACACCCCCCTCCAGGAACGAGCAGCGTTGGTCGCCATCGGAAAGGTGCGAATTGGACCCAGAGTGGTCCAGGAAGGATGCTGCCCCTCCCCACGCATTTGCTTCTACTGCCCCCTAGAGGCCAGACCTCTGAAGTACAGCCGCCCTGGCCTCCCTCACCTGCTCCGACACTGTCAGCCAGGGCACTGGAGAAGTGAAGTGGGCAGTGTGAGCATCGCCAGCCAGCGCTGCTTGCCATCCAGAGGTTTTCTGGTCAGGGCAGGGGGCATCAGCTAACGGGGAAGGGGTGGGAGAGACATATCTGCACACTCATAAATTCAGTAGCAATTCATGTTCAGAAGCAGGGCTTTGGCCCAGCCCACTTTGCACAGCTGCTGCTGCTGGCTGTACTCAGGACAATGGTCTTCCCTCTCCTGCACAGAGGCCCACTGACCCCTCACCCCACCGCCACTGTAACAGGCAGGTTTAGTTCACATACACTGTTCTGATTCTGTGACTCAAGGCAGAGGCTGAGCCGGAAGCCCCAAGCTCCTCCCCTTCCATTGGGGAGGGCTTCTTCCTCAGTTTGTCCCTGCTCTCACCCTCAGCTGGCAAGCATGTCTGGGGGCCCGAGGGGGCACTGGTGCAGCTGGCAGCAGGACGGAGGGCTTGTGCAGCCCTGACAGAATCAGGAGCCCATTTAACTTCTATAGGTTTCTCTCTGTAGTTTCTTTCCCCTGGAGGCGGGTTGGGGAGCTGATGATGGGAGACAGGGCAGCTTTGTGGTCCTTTGTTCTCCAGACCAGCCTCTGACTTTTGGCTCTCCAAAGGCACTCATCTCCCATCCCCAAGCCTCCTCTGACTCCCTGCCTTGCTCTTCCCCACCATTTTACCAACGGACCTCAGTCTCCTGCAGACCCACCCCTATATACCTACAGCCCTGGGTGGGTCTGTTCTGTCAATGCCCACCTCCTCTGCCCTCATGTCTGCCCGGGTCTCCTTGAGCCACAGCCAGCTGCCAGTCAGGTCTCGAAACACCCTCCAGGGCCTGGCTCAAGGGAGGCCAGGCCTGACCCGAGCCTTCCTCCCACTGTGGTGGATCAGACCCATGGCCAGGGGATGGGCACCCCCGGGTAGCAATCCCACAATGCACTGTACCTCAGAGAGAGAGCAGCCACGGGGCATCAAGGCATCAGGCCCTCCGTCCAGAGGACAGCCGGTTACAGTACTGCTCACAGAAAGACAAGGGCCAGGCTGCCCTCGACACCCCTCATTCTTCACTTTTGTCTCTCCGGAAGAGCCAGCAGTCTGATTCAGCCTTTTTCAGCCCCTGTCTCTCTCCTTCTCTCCACCCCCATGCTGCTGAACCGTGTCATTTCAATCACAAAGGAAAAATTAAGTGGGGGTGGGGCGAAATACCTAGGAGTCTATTATCACATACCTATTAATATGTTAATACTTTCTTTCTTAAAAAAAAGAAAAAAAAACTCTTGATATTATTTTGCAGACTACGCTTTATAGTACCTGTGTGATGGGACCTAGAACACTGGATACAAATAGAGCTATGTTGGTTTATCATAATATGTACGCAGAAACTTTCCTTTTGTCATATTATCCTTGTAATGTAAGAAGATTGTTAATAAAAGCATTTAAATTTACTCACCAAGGTTGAATCTCTGCCTCTTTGCCTCTATCCCAGGCCTGTGCTCAGGGCGATTCAAAATGGGTCCCATCTCAAGTCCTAGGGTGTCAGGTTAGGAGCCTGCTGGCTACCAGGTTGGAAGGAACTAGAAGAGGCTTTCAGCCCCTTCCTGCTGCTCTCACTTTTTCCCCATTTGAGTCCACTTCCGGCAGATAAACTACATTCTCCATCCCATGGGTCAGGCCAAAAGGAGGTGTAACCGAAATCGTTAAAAATACATCTACCTACATCCAAATGCATTTATCCCGCCAGAATCTCTTGGAGGAAATACGCAGATGAAAGGTTCTAATTCTCTCTCCACTGCTTCCCGTGTTCTCCACGTGCAGGCCGGATCTCTGGGGAGGGGTCTTTCCCCAGTAGTTTAGCTCTGGTATGAGTTGGGTGATAAGTGATGCTTTGCCCAAGTTGTTTGAGAAAGAAGATGGGAAGAAATTCAATGAAGATATAGATACTTTTTACTTTTTTCCTGCTGGATGCTAAGCCCTCGTACTCCCAGCTCCTGCTTCTCTGAGGTCAGGCTTCCTTTCAGTGGCCTTTCCTCCTCCTTTTTCTTAACCTCTGCCTTCTTAGCGACTGCCATCTCCCTCCCAGCATGCATCCCTCTCAGCCCCCAGAGGCCCCCTCGGAGGCCTCCAGTTGTGAAAGCTACCCCTCAGTGTCCATGGAATGTTCTGGTTCTCTTCTTTTCTCAGGGACGGGGAGGAAGGGAGGAAGGCGCGCCGGGGCCTAGCTGTCCGTGTCTAACCAGCCCAGGTGAACCAGGGTCAGCTCCGCCCCACGGTTGGCTCTCCAGATTTGGCCCACATCTTCAGCCATATCTGGAACCTGCTAATGACATCACCAGGAAGCAAGGAAAGATCTGTCACAGGCACTTGGGGAAGTTGGTCTCCCCAAAGTGGGGCTTGGAGAATGTGGCAAAGGGAGGTCTACTCCCTTCCCTCCCTCTGCTCCCCAGCTGCGCCCCTGGGAATGAAGACGCAGGAGACCAGCTGGCTGCCTGAAGACCTGAAGGGCTGCTATGTGACAACTTCTAGAGCGGTCTTTGGAAAGCACAGATTCAGTCATGGCATCCCCTCTGCTTAAAACCCTCCGATGGTTTCCCATGGTCCTTAGAGTTCAATCCAAACTCCTGATGGTGACCATCAGCGCTGTGTGACCCAGGCCCTGCCCACCTTCTGGCCTCAGCTGTGTCCTCTGCACGGAGCTCCAGCCACATGGGCCTCCTCTGTGTTCCTCAAGCTCACCGAGGTCTTTTCTACCTCAGGACCCCCATTACCCTGTGCTCTCTGCCTGGGATACTTTTCCCTGGGATGGTTTCATGGTTGGGTTCTTCTCATTTTTTAGGTGTCAGCTAAAATGCCACCTTCTCAGAGAGGTCTCTCCTGACCACCTTCTCTAAACAGCCACCCTCAGGGCACTAGTCATTGTTGCTGCTGCTATTTCCCTTCATAGCACTTATCTCAGTTTGCAACTGTCTAATTATAGTGTGTGTGCGTGTGTGTGTGTGTGTGTGCGCGCGTGTGTGTGTGTGCGCGTGTGTGTGTGTGCGCGTGTGTGTGTGTGTGTGTGTGTGCGTGTGTGTGTGTGGGGGGGGGTTGGTCTATTAGTCTTTCCCCTCTAGGTTGTTGTGCCCACAAGGGAAAAAGGAAGACTTTTTTTTTTTAAGATTTTTATTGGGGAATTGGGGGGATGGGAACAGTGCTGGGGAATTGGGGGAAGGGGAACAGACAAGTTGCTGTTGTTTTGTTCTTCAGTCCAGCTGTGGAGGACGTTGCTTCACTGGCCCAAGTTGGCACCATCATTGCACTCTTCCCGGGCGAGGCAGATCAGTCGCCAGCTTCTGGACGGCCGCTCACGGCCTGTTGCTGGCTGCTCACGATGGCTGCTGGCTACACACGGTAGCCCATGGCAACCCACTGCCACAGGGACTGCAGCCTACGCTGTCGCCGGCGACTCATGGCAGCCCAGCTCCAGGTTGAGCTGTTGTTCAGCATCTTAGCTGTGGAGGGCAGTGTCACTGGCCCTCATATGTGGGATCCGAACCGAGGCCTTCTGGCATCCCAAGCCAGTTCTTAACCATTGCGCCACTCGGCCGTCCCAAGGGAGACTTTTTAACACCACTGTGTGCAGTTCCTATCACATAGTAGGCGCTTAACCCTCTGTTGGATGTAACTGATTTCACAGATTCATTGCACACAAATTTTCAAATATCTAACAGTTAAGTATCATGATTCATCACTTCCGTATCTTTCCCCTCTACTGTGACCTATCGCCAGTCGTGTTTGTGACTTAGTATGGTACAGACGTATTTCATAACAGTATCTTTGTGTGCAATGAATCTGTGAGATCAGTTGCACCTGACAGAGGATGAATCAGTGTTTATTGAAGTGATGAAGGGACGGGTGACTTTAAGCAGCATCTGATAAAAGTACAATCCCAGCAATGCTGTGTTGGTCACAGCACAAGTCCTGGTTTCTTCATTTGATCAGAATGACCCTGCACCTGACCCCTGGCTAACTGGCCTTGACCCTGCCCCTTCCCTATACAAAGCTGGAGGTTGCCCCTGGGGTGCTTACTTGAGTTCTCCCCTCCATCTTTCTCTTGCCCGTGGATAATGCCCCCCGCCCCCCAAGCCATCTAGTTGTCCCTTAACTCTCCCAGGGAGGAGAACTTTTCCAGCTCCTTTCAGCTCAGATTCTCAGAATCAGCGGTTCCAAGTAGCATTTTGAAGCTATTGCCTTGGCATCTGTTATTTTTCCAAGAAAGACCCTTGGCCGCTGGCTGTATGTCAGAGCCTGGACTTTAACATTAGAGCTTTACCAGATTCAAATCCTCCCTCTGCCTCTTACAGGCTGTGGACTCATAGACAAGTCACTTAGCTAAGTCTGTGTCTTCAGTGCTAAGCACACAGCAGTGGTTGCTACGTGCTGACCCTTTCTCCTCATTATCATCATTATTGTTACCTCTTAGATCAGGATGAAGTAAGTGCTAGGAAGTGATGGGTTTCCTTATTTCACCCAGAATTCCTACCCCGAGTGAAGGGCCGCCTGTGACTTTTAAAACCGAACACCTATTCCAACAGCCAGCGTGGACACCTCTGCTAGAACGGAGATCACCTTTACCTTCTCAGCCTAGAGAGAGAGCCTCAGGCACCTTCTTCTGCTTCAACAGCTCACTCATTTCACCTGGCTTTTGAGGAAAAAGGGACTGCATAGAGGTTTTGTTGGTTTGTTTGTTTGTATTTGGCTGGAAAAACAGGTTTCTCCTTGCTTGTCCCTGGTTTGTATCCTTGGGTTTCTGAAACAGGATTGCTGCCATCACCTACCTGACAACGGGCTGCCCTGAAACACTAAGAAAGAGCGTTGGGAAATTGAGAAGGGAAGCCACGCTCCAGCCAGGGCCGCATTGAGAGGAGACCACACCTGGCTGAGGACAAGCCACCATAAAGCCTTGATCACACAGTGGCCACGACTGCACCATGTTTCCATGGCGATATCTGGTTTCCAGTGCCAAGACCGGCTTTCTCCCAGACAGGGGCCTGCCTCCATCCCTGGCTTGGGGAAGCTGATGAGGTCCCTGCTAGGAACCATCTGTGCTGGCTCATCTGCAGGAAATGAAGGAGGGGGCATGGGGGCAGTGCTCCAGCACTCGCACCAAGAAAATGCCCAGTCCGCTAAATCCAATCACAGCCACAACCCATGGCTCCCTCCTTGCCAGGTGTCTGCCCCGAAAGGGTGACAGAACAGATGCTAGGGCTCTGAGCTCCTGCAATGGTGGTGCTTCCAATTGGCTCTAAAAAAAAAAAAAAGAAAGAAACTCTTGGGTGGAAAATTACCACTGTAACCGTTAGGAATTAAGGAAATGAGAAGAAGCTGACTCAGAGCTTCAGGTGACATTGTATCAAATTGTCTGGGAGAGTGGGTGACTGTCAGGAAGGACTGTCAGAAGATGCCAGGGAGTCTCACTAGGCATGGGGCAGGGAGAGCAGGTACATATGGATGTGAGTTTACTTTGTTTTATGCAGGAGGTTGGAGACCAACGATATGTGTGAAAAATATGTTGTTGCCAGTCTAGATCACAGAATCACAGAATGTTAAATGTATTAGTAAGTCTAGAAGGGACCTTAGTGATCACTTGGTTCAAATTCATTTTACAGATGTGGAAACTGAGGTCCAGAGACAAGTGACCTACCCAGGACCATGAGGGTGGCCAGTGACAAGCTGGGTTGCAGGTTCTCAGCTTTTAAACGCAGTGCTCTAGATCTGGGTCCATTTTATGGGCAGGAGCAAAGTTTATTTAAGTCACTTCAATGGAAAGCCTTGGATACAGTGATTAAAGGACTCTTCTTCCATCTCCCATCTCTCTTTTATATAAATCCAGATTCTCAAATATTAGTTTTAGGCTCTGGTAAGCCATATGCATAGTTACCTGTGAAACACAGTCTATATCATATTTGACTATGCAGGATAAGACCCACATCTCCTATTTTATTATGAATATAAGAATCCTGATTGTCATTAAAATCTAATATGTATAAAATATGAACTAAGGAATTATATGCACAGACTTGGAAAGCTAAGACACCACATGGCTTCCTTTATGGATCATTCATCTTTTTAAAAAAAACAAAAAAAACCTTTGGTTTTAATTCCATGTGACCTAGCTGATTTCCTGCTGACTTTAAAATTCAGGCCCTGCCTCTGGCTTAGTGCCAGAGCCTCTTCCACCGGAGGCCAGGGCTGCAGAGGCCACCAGGAGGGTCCAGGTGACAGCACTCCAGGGATCCCCTTGTATACTCCCACCACCTGGGGTGCAGGGGTACCTGTGGCTGCTGCACTGACTCTTCCATTGATGGGAGTATTTCTTTTTGGGGCGTTAGTAAAAGAAGAGTCTCTAGTCTCCACCGATTTTTCTTCTTGAGAATGGAGTCAAAGCCCCAGTAGTGCTTGCGTCTCTACTACTTGTATGTTGCCCCTTTGATTTGGTGCTTGAGCAAGACAATCAAGGAACACGAGCATGTACATGCACAGAGCAATTGATGACCTAGCAATTCTACTCACTCCGAGGTAGATATCTTAGAGAAACTTGCACATATATACAAGGAGACATGCACAAGAATGTTGATAGCATGTCCTGTAACAACAACAAAAAAAATAAAAATAAAAAAAGAAAAGGAAACAGGTAAATGTACATCAATGACAATGGGATTGTGGTATATCCATGCAATGGAATATTATACAGCAGCAAAAAAATTAAATGAACTACACCTACATATGTCTGCATGGATAAAGCTCAAATTTTTAATATGGAGCAAAAAGAGTGCACTACCATTTACATTAAGTTTACAATGTACAAAATTACCCTATGGTACTCAGGGTGTACATATACATGTAGTAAAGGGATGCAGAAATGCCTGGGGTAAGAAATCCCAAATTCAGGATTGTGGTTTACTGAGGAAAGGGGCCGAGGGGGCCTCAACTGTATTTGTCAAGTTTTATAAAACTTGGTAGTGGTTCATGAGTGTTGATCAAATTATTTCTTCTGCATTTTATATGTCTAAAATATTAAGTGGAAAGAAAAGAAGAAAACACCAGGCAGTTAACCCAGTTGGAAACTATTTATTGACCACTGAAAGGTTTTTGCTCAAAAGTGTGACACCAGACATATGACTACAATGTCTCATGCGCCTTTTTGTGCTTCGGTTCATAATTGCAAAACAAACACACACTTAGCATTGACAATGAGAAACATGGGCAGCAGCAACAAATCACGAGGAGTAGATTTCTCTTTTCTGGGTCTTCACCTCGATTTGGCTTAGGCCGCAGTCACCTGCCACCCAGGACTCCTTACATCCCAAAGAAATTGCCTGTGAAGAACTGTGCCTCCTTCCATCTTGCTCTCTCTACATTGTGTCATTTGGGGTGATTTGTCACTCAACCCACACCAAGAGTCATATCTCAAATTAGAAATGGAGAGACGCGTGCAAGGTCTTGATCAATAGTCACTCAACAACTATATATTGATTTTACTTAAGAAGTGGAGTCACAGATTCATGAGTGTGGACTCTCAATGCTTTATCCTCATCACAGGATCTATGAAAAAACCAGATCACCTCGTGGACAGCAGCCCAGTCTGAGATGCTTTCTCGCTTTATTTTCACCTCTGCTGCATGCCCTTCTTAGAAAACGCTCCCTAGCAAAGTACAAGGTGTCCCTTTCAAAAAGATCAGATGCACTCACATAGACTCAATTACTCGCATTTGGTAGTAAATTACAAATGTATCTGGTACAAGGTCAGCTGATGCAGAGATTACTGAAGTTTTTTGATCTGGCAGTCTGATATCTCTGGGTAATATAAAATTCACCACGATGGAGTTTGAGAAGCACAGTGATTATATTCTCTTCTATCATTAATTACATTTACACGGAGAGCTATGAATTGTCATTAGGTGAATGACTCAATGCCATGAATTTCAAAGCCAACTGAGATTTTTTATGTCTTTACCATTCAGAAACCAGTTAGTATTTTGATTTTTATGCTATTTGCAGTGTCTTTTTGTGTCTACTCCCTTATCTGTCCTGTATTCACTAATTCATTCGACAAATGTTTCATTGAGGGCCCATGAGTCAGCTTTATTTTAGGAGCTTGGAATACATGAGTGAACAAAACAGACAAAACCCCCTGGAAAACCTATCTCATTTCTGTATATGCCCTCTAAGTGAGGTGATGGCTGACACCTGTGCCTCCTGTGGTGGCATTTGATTCTTCTCAGGGGTAGCCTTTAGTTTGGAGATTCCGGAAAACTAAACCTTTGGAGTCCAAAGAAATAAATGTCTCATGGTGGAATGACCATGGGTAGAGTTGATATTTCTGGGATGACAGATCCTACCCAACCCACCTCAAACATCCTTTGGTGTGACTGTAAGGCAGGCACATAGATATATAAGGAAGTGGAACCACGTTTCCTGATTTAAAGTCTAGAAGCCAGGCCTTTTCAGATTGGAGTAGCAGGTATGACCAAGAAGAGAGTCCTGGTCAGCTTACACAGAGAATGTTTTCTTCTCTTTTAGCCATGCCATCCAAAAAAAGGGAGACCAGAGTGGTGGTGGGGGAGAGGATCTCAAAAACATGATCACTAACAAATGCTTTGCCTAAAAAAAACTTAGCAGGAGGTGGTCCACCATAGTGATCAAGATTTCCAATGATCTGAAAGACTTTCCCATTAAAGAAGGATTAGATATTTATTTTGTTTCTTCACAGAGGGTGAGTAGGAGTTATTTCCAATGCTTTTCTACTTCTGCACAGAGAGGGAGAATAATGAATAATGACTAAAGGTGATACGGTCCCAGCTTGGATTCTCAGGAAGAGGCCAAGAATGACTTGACTTGTTGAAGGTTGAAGGGTAGCCCTTATCTGTTTTGTCTAGGAATTCTCTAGTAGATCAGGGGACTGAAGCGACATCAGAAAGCCTAGAGTTTGGATGTCAGTGTTGAGGAGTCCAAATGCAAAATCCGTGGTTCCGGAAATACCCGAGATGGTTGTGGCGCTTTCCAGGCATGGTCAACTGCCAACTTAAAGCTTAAAGATGATCGATCGGCTGGTGGCCTCAGAGCTTGTTTTTTCGCCAGGAAATGCCTACAGCTTTTGAGCACTATTTCATCTATCACATCATTCGCACACATATAGCTGCCATGTCATTACTCCTATCTTACAGATGGCCAACAACAGAACCCAGGAATCCTGGTTCATGGGCAAATATGATATCCACTCAGCAAGGCTCATAATTTCATTAATGATGTGGACAACTATTTCGAATTATAAGGTAGGAGTTTTAAACCTAGTTGCTGGTTATTTACTGATTATAAATTGACAGGCCCTGAAAACTGAAGAGGGAGGCACATTTGCAAAAGTCTGTTTCCTGTTCAAAGTTTTCTTACTTCTCCACATCCACATCACCAGATGTATCAGACTAAATTAGTAGGTGCCCCGAACTGAATTCCTCCTATAGTGGCTGGAATGCTGAGAAAGGATAGATCTGTCTTAGAGGGTTGCTTTGGTATGCTGGAGGACGTGACAACTAGTACCCAATGACTAATAAGGGATCCCACCTAAACACTGTCAGGCAAGGCCCCCTCCCCCCCGCCCTCCCCCCAGCCCCATGTATAATATAAACTGACTATGAGATAAAACAATAAAGCTATTCAATAAAAAGTACAAATTCAATCCAAGAGCAGGATCCGAAAAGCACAAATGAAAATAAGAATTAAAATAACTAAAAAACAGCGGCCCCAAACTTTCACACCGATGGTTCAGATGTCCAGCATTGGAACTGGCTGCTTCAGGGTGTTGTGGCCCCAACATGGACTGTGAAAACCCATCTGGAATGTTGTAGAAGGGATTTCTCCAAGTGCAGTGCTCCAACCTCTGCATCAAAACCACTCAGTGCTTTTTTAAAAAGCAGGTTCCTGGGGTCCAGCCAGGAACACTGATTTGGAATGTCTACAGGTGGGCCTGGGAATCTGCTGGTGATTCTTCACACACTAAGGTTTGAGAGTTGCTGGGTCGCTGCTTGGGTCAGGAGATTGATTTAATGCTGGCTAAGAGTTCACCCCGCCCTAACAATCTCTAATTCTATGAGTTGACCCAGGATACTTCTTTTCCTATATCGTTTTCAAAATGCTTTCTAAAGAAAGCCACATTCTTTGCATCCATTATTCCCCCAATTCAGCTTTCTCTGCCTCTGGCCTGACCCCCCTCCCTGCAAAAACTGCACATTGGCCATAGTTGACGCGTCTCTTCAATGACGTAGATGAGCAAAATGAATTCCTCCGTGTGACCCAAATGTCCACACACTGCCCTGCCTTGCTTATTTTTTAGAAACGGGAGTGTGATGAGAGAGGCATAGGGTCCTGGCCTTTGCAAACACGTCTGTCTTCTGGGTGTCAGCATGAGGATGGGGCACAAGGAGGAGGTCGCAGAAGACAGCGGAGCTGGAGGGGTGGGGCTGTGCCCAAGTAGGACGGTGGCCCAGGTGGCTGGCTACAGGTGCAGCTGGTGCCACATGGCGATCTGCCGGCGTGGGTTTTTGAGCATCTCTTCCCAGTGGCTGCGCTCGGAGCCTGAGGCATGCAGGCCCAGGCTGCAGTGGCCCAGCGTGCAGCTCGGCCCCTCCCCCTCCTGGCCCAGCACCTCCAGCTCCACACTGGAGGCCCGCAGCAGGTCGTCGGGCAGCTCAAACATGATCATCTCATTCCACACGGGGTTGATCTTGTGCTTGGCTCGTTTTGTCTGCTTCTTCTTCAGCTTCTGAGCCTGGTGCTTTAAGGTCACCTTGACAGAGACATCTGGGGAGGGACAGAAGGGAAAGGGAGAGAGAGAGAGACGGGCCAAGGGTGAGTTTCTGGGATGTGGTGGGGCCTGGGATGATGCTTTCTCTTGGGGATGGGCAGGCAGGCTCTCTGGCTCAAGACCTGCATTGAGGCTCCCTCTCTACCCAGCCTCCCGCAATGGGCCACGAACGAGTATTCGTTCAACAATTAGTGAATGTTCAGCAGCATATGGCCGACACTGGTCTAGACGTGGGGATATAGCAAAAGTTCCTGCCTCATAGAACTTACACACAAGTATGGAAAACAGACAATGGCATAATATAGAAGGCTGGTCATTGGGTGGCACATGATTGTGTCATGCTAGAGTACAGCTAACGGACCACCGTTGGCTATGAGCCCTTCCAAAGTGACTTCATGTCCCACAATCAAGCCAGGTCCAGGACAATGGCCCAGGTATCCTGCAGCTTGATTTTAAACTCAGACCAGAAAAAACAAGCCACCCCCATGTCATCATCCCCTTGGTTCTCCGTCTAAGTATTTTTGTCTATTAAGATAGTAGGTCATCTCCTGATTGGTTGAGTTCTTTTCCTCTGTTCTTTTGTAAGTTTTCCTTAAGGACCCCAACTTCACGTGGAGGGTGAGGGCAGGCTGCCTTGCACCAGGAAAGCCACCCCCTAAGAAATTCCACCCCCCACCCTCCCACCAGGTAAAACAGGTCACCAGATGAGCTTTCAGGTACCTCCCAAGGCTCAGGACCTGGATTACATTTTCATTAATCAAGTTTCCAAAGCTAATGTGAGGATAATTGTTCCTCTCCATTTATTGATATAATTATTACTCCTGGGTGGTTGGTTTGTTATTTCAACAGATATTTGAGAGACAAAGCATGGTGCAGTAATTCTGACAGGAACTATAAAAAATGAGCAGGAGGCAAAGAATTGTCTGGAGGGGGTGAGGGCAAAGCACTGAACTCTGACCTCTGGCTCAAGAATCTGTCAGCTGTTCTGATTTCATTCACCCAAGAGCTTTTTGTTCAAAGATTCTCAATGCGATGGCAATTCTTTATTCACCCTGCTATAAATATATATTTATTTTATACCCTGCTATGAGCACTTGGCTCCGGGTCCAGGTATCATACGGCTAACCAGCGGTGTTTTCTTGCTCTGACCAGAGAGCCTATTTGGTCCCCAAGACTTGGGGCTTGTGCTGAAATATCCAGGAGAAACCAGGGTTTCCAGAATAGCGAAGAGATGTTTATTTGGGTATATGGGGCACAGGCGCCTTAAGCTGCAGGCCGCCTCAGCCCATGCACCCACATACCTTCTGCTATCACCCACACTCAGCTGGTATGGGGGTGGCAGCTTGGCAAAGGCTGACAAGAGGAAAGAGACTGGGATGGATGTGGGGAGCACATTGATGGCTAGCTGAGATGCAAGGAGAACCTGAGCTTCTCAACACCTTCCCCTTTAGAGGGTCCACCCAGGTCCACGTGACAAGGGCTGGGCCAAGTTCCCTCTACAGCCCAGATACTCCACTCCATGGCTACAGTCTCACCTTGACTTTCTATGACCCACAAGTAAGACTGATTCTCCTCACAGTGGATCTCCAAGGTTGGGAGTCCCGGGTAGGTATGAGCTCGTACCTAGGCCCTGATAGATGGGGATTGGCCCAGGAGTAAGTGGATATGAACTTAAGGAAATAAGTGTGTCCTTAAATATTGGTTAGTGAACTTGGGGTGAAGGACACAGCTGTGGCTGACTCCACAAATGTACACAGGTCCCACCTCCCTGCTTAGCTGTCTCCATTGCCTCCCAGGCGCCATCTCCCTCTTCACATATTCCCAGAGGCTAAAGGGGCCCTGGTTCTCTCCTTTCACACCTCACTCACCCTTCCCCAGGAGCTCCTTGGACTGGTTAGAGTGGAGGTTCTTGGCCTTAATCAGCACCACCAGGAGGCGGTTGGCAGCTGGGAGGTAGCTGATGGAGAGAAGGACCTCTCCAGCTCCTGCAGAAGATTCCTGAAACAGAAGAGAGGGAGCATGAGAGGGGCTTCATTTAGGAGAGTCTTCTGCCCCATCAACTAATGCTGAGGCTGGGGTCACATTGAACTTGTACCCAACAGGCATCCTAGAAACCATTTACCCATCAGCGCTGGTTTCTCCACCTTACAGAAGGTAGGAGGCCACAGAAGAATTATATGTGGCATGTGCCTCAATAAGACATTGTTTTGTTTGTGACTAACTGTGATTTTCCAAATATCTTATATTCAACCCCAACATATAACACAGATCAAAGAGATGGCACTCAGGACGTGGCAGGGGCAGAGGGCCAGGACCCCCTCTCATCCTTCACCTCCTCCCCAAGCTCCTGGGGTATGTTTATAGAACCCTAGAATCCTAGGGAACACAGTTGGAAAAACACAGTTGCATTGACCAGTCAGGTTCCGGGGGACAGTGGGAAGTTGTGATTCATTACTCCATTTGAAAAGAGAATTCCTTTTGGCCCCTGCAGGGCTGAGAGAGTCAATAATGTCATGTACTATTGCTGAGATGGGCCTTGCTCGGTCAACAGAATGGCCAACCATGTCAACAAAAAGCCAGGCATACGATGTTAGGGAATATGCCAGAGACAGCTGGCAATCACTGCGCTTTCCAGGAGGTGCGGAAGCCTCCCGCAAAGCATCCAACACGTCTATTCCCATCTGCAGCTGTACAGAGAGTCTCCACTGAAATTCCCACAAGAATTTGGCATTTGAATAAATCCATTGAGGGACAAAAATGACCAAAAGAGCCCCCACAGGAGGCAGATGCTAAGAATATAGACTCTAGAACCAGACTGTCAGACTCTGAGTTCCAATCCTACCATCTACTAGCTGTGTGACCTTGGGCAAGTTACTTATCTTTCTCAAACTTCCATTTCCTCATCTGTGAAACTGGTATAATAATATCCCCACCCAAAGGGGGTTGTAAAAGTTAAATGAGTTAATATTTAATGACTTAGAGCAGTGCCTGACACACTAAGCACTGTGGAACTGTTTGCTTTGGTTATCACCACTAGTTATTAAGGAATGACAATCACTGCTTCTTGAGATTGTGAAGTGGGAACATTGTTTCTGGATGACTGGGGAAACTAATCTGGGCTTTGGAAGTGAGGCCAGCCCTCTGCCCAAGTCATAGCTTTCATCTAGGAAAAATGTCTTCAACATGACCCCGTCGATTCAACTAGCTAAAGTGACTAGCTATATGATGAAATGATTTGGGAGCTGCAGGGAACTTTGGCAATGACATGAATAAAAGCAGCTAACATTAATTAAACACTTGCTATGTGCCAGGTGCAATTATATCATCTATCCCACTAGGCTGTAAGCTCTACAAAGCCATCTCCAGCCCATCTCCAGCACTCAGCACAGGTGACACACAACAAATAGCTGCGAGATTTAATCTTGACAACAACCCTACGTGCAATACTGATCTTATTCCCATTCTAAGCATAACACCCTGATGCTGCCAGAGGACACATCACTGGCTGAGGCCACGTAGCCAGCAAGTAGCAAAACTGAGCCTTGAATGGAGGTCTGGTCTGACAGCAAAGCCCACGTCCCAAATCCGTGGCGTTCCAGAGTCTTCAGTGGATAAATCTTTGACTTCACAGGGAAGGAACCGAGGCTCAGGGACTCGTCCAGGCGTCCAGAGGGGTGGCAGCACAGCTGGGATGGGTACTGGACTCCTGATTCAAGGGCACTTATCGGAGGTCCACAGGTGGCCTGGGATGTAGCCTCAGGGTGACTAGGCTTGAGTGCTCCACTGCCCCCAGACCAGGTGAGAGAAGCCTGGACCTGTCAGCCTGTGAAGGGCTTGTCACCTTTGTGTAGGGTGCCAAAAGCCCCAAACAAGCCCAGGCAGCTGCACCACAGCCAGAGGGTTGAACAGCATCTGCTGCTTCAAGTACCTGCTGACAAAAATACAAGCATGCCTTGCAGATATTGTGGGTTCGGTTCCAGACCACTGCTATAAAGTGACTATCTCAACAAAGTGAGCTGTAATCTTTTTTCAGATGGAGGGTCTTGCCTTCAATTCGTAAAAAAAAAAAAAAAAAGGCAACATCTATGGAGCTCAGCAAAGCAAGGTGCAATAAAACGAGGTATGCCTGTAACCGTCTCTTATTTTCTCTATCCTCTCCATCCATGGCTTTTCCTGTCCCATCTCCCCCATCTTTCCCTTGAGCTGTTAATGAGTCATTCAAGCTCCCCTTGGAGTAAGTCGCTCTGTGGTCTCTGGTGACGCACAAGACACTTTTGGCTGAGTGTCTTCCTGTGATAACTGGGGCACCGCTGGCACCTTGGTTAACCCATTCTGGCCTAGAGGAGAAAAACACCTGGGCTGCAGCAGCTGAAGGCTCCGCCCACCTTGCTTACATGGCCCACATCCTCCCTAGACTGGCCTCAGGGCTTCCCCCTGCCACATACACTGAGAGTGCCATCTCGTCTGACTGACTCCAGGCTGCTCTCTGAGATTACTGACATTTGTGGGACACAAGCCAGCAGTCTAAGTGGATGTGAGAGTATTCTTGTGCAACAGTGACGACCATAAGTACGATGATTAGAATGGATGAGCCATGCGGGCAGGGCTTTGTCTTAACTACTTCTGTGTCCCCAGGTCCTAGCATGGTGCCTGGTACATAGTGGAAACTGGGCAAAGTGTGTGTGGAATGAACGAATGATTTTTGCTCTTCTAGGGGGAAGGACAGAAATGGATTGGGTTCCTGAGACATCTGCCAAGATAGGAGTTTAGCCCTTTCAGTGGCGGCACCTAAGTCCCCAGAGCCCTGGGGGAGCCCCTCTGTGTCCAGAGAAAGACGGTTTACCAGATGAATAAACCAAAGTGTTGGTTCCTCTTCCCAGGGCCCCTGGCTGCGATTCCACGCAAATCCCAAATCACACACTAATTAGAGAGTGTGCTTTGGAACAGCCTCATTCCAGCTGAGAGGGGCTGTCAATTTTTATCAATTTCCTGAGCTTTGGAAAGAGAAAAAAATAAGGAAAGGAGGAGAGGGTAGCAAAAAGAGGAGCAGGTGGGGAGTGAAAGTGTACGCCCTACTCCTGCCGTATTCATCAGGAAATTCGCCTCTTTGATGGCACCTCACACACTGTCAGGCACTTCCACAGCACAGCGGCAAAGGGATGACACAGGGTTTACAGCCAGACCCATCTGGCCTCAGGGCCAAGCTTGCCATGTCCCAGACGGGAGACCTTGCATGGTGATTGAACTACTACTAAGCCCCGTCCCTTTGTCTGTAAATGAGGACGTCACAGGGTTACCTGTTGTTCATCTTCCCTGCAGTGTCTGGCACATAGTAGGTACACAGGGAGTAGAAATGAATTTAAATGGAGATAATACTCTCAACACCAGAGCCAATACAGTACACTCATAACATGTTTCCCATGGTGGCAGGGGAGGTCTTTGCAGGGCAAGCTAGAAGCAAAACTAGACACCAGGAATCCCAAATCCTGGCCTATGGGTCTGCTCCCGCCCTCCACTCTGTTCAATACTCCAACCTTCCTTACACACACACACACACACACACACACACACACACACACACACACCTGTGCTGGGAAGGTCTCTGAAGCTTGTTCCGGCTAGCTGGTCACCAAGCTTGGTTACTTTACCTTGCGTGGTGAGAGGTAACCCTACCTTAACTGAGGTCTTCAGCTCACCCCACTGGGTGGCCCCCAGAGGCACGGCTACCCCATCCAGGCCCAGGCGGAGCTCCCCGGCCACACTGTGGCGGGAGAAGCGGTCACAGGTCCTCAGGGTCAATGTCAAGGTCGCTGTGGGGAGCTCCTCCTCTGCCAGGGGGAGCACCAGGCCTTCCTCCCAGGTAGTGTGTAGCTCCCGCTTCTTTAGAGGCGTCTGGGCCTCCACAGAGCCTGTTCTGTTTGCCACACTGCCTTGGATGTAGCAGTCACAGCCTCCATCATGGTCACTGGTCACAGCTGCGGCCAAGGACAAAGCAACACAGACATGGGGCTTCTCGAGGACCCGGAAGGGAAGACGCAGGGCCCTGCTTTAAGCTGTGGGAATCTGGCTTATGGATCATGACCTTGGGCGTGTAAAAGGTCCCAGGGCTGCTCACCCTGGCTTTGTGGAATTGCCTTTCAGTAGGACATTTACAGATAGGAGATCTCTGAGGGGGCCAAAGTCAGCACATGCTGGCTGGTCCTCCTTGGAGAACAGGACAAGACAGGGCTTCCCAGAACCCTTCCTATCCCATGACTGAGATTTCCCCAAGGCTCCAGGGCCCGGAAACTGCTGATGACTTTTACCAGTGTTGCTGCTGACACCAGTAATTCATTTGTTCTGTACTTTAAATACTTGCCACACCACCACTTGTGATGTGAATCACTGGACCGCTACCTCATGAATGATGTTTTATATTCCAAACCTTGGTTTTTTTAATGCTTACAATGTGGAAACTTGCACCAGTGATGATTTTATGACTGATTCCTGAATGATAATGTGAGAAGCGGTAGCTGATGATCCCTGGGAAGAGAAGAACTGAGGTCATGTGTCCTGATAGGACGTCCCTTCACTGAGCTTGAAGGGACCTGGGTGGACTGGACTCCTGGCTCTGGCACCAACTAGCTGGAGTGATCTTTGATAAGGTTGCTAGATCTGTTTCCTAATCTGCAAAATGGGACCATTGTGAAGACCAAATGTAATAAAGTATATAAAAATGTCTTCTAAAAAAATCTTAAAAGAAAATAAAAAGGAAAGACGCTCCCTCGAAAAAATAAAATTAAATACAAAAATCCAATCTATCCCGCCCACAGCTTTCAGCTTCCAGGAGCCATGGTGTAGCCCATCGTTAGCCCTGATTCCCTTACAAAGCTCTAGCTTTGTTTGCTGACGGTGATGTGAACTGTCAGGGTAGGGAGACCAGGGACAGCCTGACCCACTGGGAAAGGCCACCTGGTCCTAGGAATGTTCAGAACCCCCCCTGTGTCCAGCACAATGCCCTGTCCAATGTCAAAGGCACTTATGGCAAAGGCGGTTAGCTGTTCACCAAAAACCAATTTCCTCGTTTTGCTGAGCATCACACATTTTCCCATCCTCCTTTGCCGTCAGTGGTCATGTGACTGAGTTCTAGCCAATGGGATGTAAGCAGGGGTGAGGCATGCCCCTGGTGCATGTGCAGGTTATAGTTTGTAAGGAACGGTTGTGCCCTCTCCCTGTTCCCCTCCCCCTTCCACATGCTAGATACAGATGACACAGAGGACTGAGGGGATTATGGAGCCGCAGACAGAAGAAACCCGGCCCTCGAATTGCCATTTGGAGGCAAGATGCACGCCCACCTGGAATCTCCACTTTGAATTATTATATGAGAGAAAGAAAAAAAGCCCTGTGTGTCTGAGCATCACATGTTTCGGGGCCTGTTTGTCACAGGGTACTAATCTGGTACCCAGGGGTCCCTCTAGGTTCAGATGCCCCCACCCCACCTGCGCAGCTCTGCTAGGGGAGACAGGCACACAGCGGTCCCGGAAAGCCACTGACAGCATACCTTCCAGACGAGTCACAAACAGCTCTGCCTTCTGCTGATCGTACTCCAGGCAATAGTGGAGTTTGGGGGCTTGGTTCCAACTGGCGGCCTTCTCTGGGTTCCAGGTCTCCATGACACAGACATCCTCCACCACGCCTGTTAAGGAGGTAGAGCCATCAACGCCACCCACTCTGGGGTCCTGTCTTCCACATCACACCGTTGCCATCTCTTCTACCGTTGCCACCAGCCCAAACCCAAAGCTTCCTAGCCGGGTGCAAAATCTTGGTGGCTGCACCTGGGGAACCCCCGTGGTCCTGGGCCTTACATTTCGAGGGACCATCAACACATGGGCTTTGGCGTCAGACATGACGCTGTTACATAATAGTTATGTGACCTTGAACAAGTTACTCGGACTCTTTGAACCTCAGTTCGCTCCTCTTTTCAATGGCAATGATGACAGTTCCTTTTTCCTGGAGTTACTATGCGCATTCAATGAAATAAAGTAGAGAAACTACTCAGCCCAGGCCCCCGGCCCATGGCCCATGGCCCATGGCCCATGGCCCGTGGTGAGCTTTCATTAAGAAAAACTGTCACAGCCTGTGTGGCTCTGCTCCCCCTGTTTCAGGCAAACCATCCCCAGTCCATCTGCAGCTCCGTTTCTCCCACAGAGTCCAGTCCCTGCTCCCCAGGAGTTCATGGCCAGAGAGAAAGATCAAAGAATGAGTCAGGAGGAGATGCTGAAGACAAGGTCAGGGATCGTGGATTTGACTTTAGTGCATGTTCAATAAATACTTGCTGAATGAATGAATGACTTTATCTTTAATTCAGAAGTCCCTAAAACCACAAATATTTCTCATTCTGCCCCTCACTTAAACAGGAACCAAGCATCTGGAAGACTCTCATTATTCAAATATAATACAAGAATTAAAGGATCCAGCAGCTGCACCAGACTCCACTTTAAGCAAAACGGAATTTCAACATTTTTGATTTTCAGAACTAATTTAGAGGGCAGACATATAAAGGATTATTTAACTCCCAAAATGGTTCATTATTGGGTTCCTGCAAGGAGTCAGAAATATCCCTGGTGCATCTAAGCAAGGAGCAGATTAGCCAGGGTGTGAGCAATGCGTAAAGCAAGACACACAGGCACACAGGACACATGTGGCTTCCAAGGGCACCACAGGGACAACCGCAGCAAGGTCAGTGTCAGAAGGGGCTTGCCTGGCCCCCAGATCCCTCAGCCCTCAGAAGCCTCAGCCTTCAAAATCAAACCAAATCAAAACCAAACCAAAGCCAGAGCCTCTTGGAAAAGCAGAAGTGGATCCAGCTTTTCAAGAATCAGGACTTTGAGCTCTACAAGTTGCTGAAGAGGATTGTGGCAGGTGGGAGGAGACCGCATTCAGCACATCACTGGGACAGGGTCTGATCAGTTTATCCTCCTCCCCTTTGCTCCCTTGCTGGTCAACGTTTGCTGAGCCAATCAGCTCTTGATAGATTTCTGGGGAATCAGAACTTGGCTGTTGCCTTCTGGGATGAGGATAGGAATAAGGAAACGTGAAAAGGAGAGGACGAACTAAATTGTTATGACTTCTTCAAAGTTCCACGCTCTGATGGGCTCTCCTGCTCTCCTTGGTGGACAGTGTCCCATCCTGGCTGCATCTGAGCTTTGAGACACCTGGGACTCCCAAGAAAAGGGAGCCCTCCTGTGATTATGATTATAATTAGCACCTCCAAGCGTCCTCAAACAAATTGGTTCCCACCCTCCAACCTTAACCTCTCAAGTCTTCAATGGGTGTGTATTTTCAATCTATTTAAAATGTGGGCTGGCTAACCCCGAGGCTAAAAGCCAACCAGGATCCATGTACACTGTGGGCACTGCGTACATTTGTTCTTAAACAAATGCCAGGTTAATCATGGTGGTTCTGGGCCAGATTGGGGCAGGGGGCACCTATTTACTGGCCAGCGTGGGGTACAATTTGACCCAAGTCAGAAGACACATTAGGAGAGGGGTCAATGTCAAAGCTGGTTATGCTGCTTCTGCCTCCACTGTCTCCATCTCCAGCCACACAACAACCTCCCAGCTGTCGTTTTTGCCTCCCTATAAAGGTCCATGTGCTCCTTTGGGTTAGGGACTGTCTCTGCTTCGCACATCTGCCCCAGAGCCCAGCACAGCACTGTACACCTGACGGTGTGGCATTCTGGATGGTGATACCAATGAGAATAGAATAATAATAATAACAATATATTTTGATGACATCTTTTGAGCCAGGTCCTGAGCCAAGCACTTCATGTGCATTATGTTATTTACACTTTACAACTTGACCAAGCAGGTAATAGTATGATCCCATTTTATAGATGAGGAAACTGATGCCCAAAAGAGTTAGCAACATGACCAAGGCCACACAGTAAGTCTATAAAAGGACAAAGCATGTAACTCAAGTCTCTGAACTGTCTCCAAAGCTGTGCACGTGACTCGCAAAGAGCTCTCCATTTCCTAGTGGAAAGCTGGAGTCCTGGGAGAGAAGGCAAGTGGCAATACATCAGCAGGAATAAAGGACTGTAATTCTGAGGCCCGGTGTCCACCTGCTTGGCCAGTGTCAAATGCCACAGACACTGGGGCTGTGCCACACCCAGCACCTACAGAGATGCTGGCAAACCCCCTGACGGCTGCTCACGGAAGTGAGATGCAGGAGGCCCCTACCATTCTGAGGAATGATGAACAGCTCCTCTGTGACCTGCCTCTTGAGGCGGCTGTCACTCAGGGCTGCGGGGTTGGCAGACACAGCAGACTCCTCCGTGGTCCTCAGCGTGTAGTCTGCATAGTTGATGACTTCTGGGGCCGTCACAGCCGGCCTGGGTCCGTAGATGTCTGGGAACTTGAGGAGGGCTCGGGGCTGGACGGGCTCCGTGGATTTTTTAACATTGAACTGCAAACCCAAATCACTCTGGTTAGTCCACAAGAGAACCTCTTGTCTGTTTTCCACCCACCGGAGGGAGAAGTGATGACCTGACCTTTCACGGGAGGCAGGAGGGCTGTGGTTTCCCCCTGCTCTGAAGAGCACGACCTGGGAAAGCAAAACGTCATCTCCAGACCCACCAGAATCCACTACATCATGAGTCATGCCAGAACCTGCTGAGATGTCGGCCCTATTCATCCATCCTTTCCTCCATCCATCCTTCCTACCATTCTACGGCCAAGCCCCAGGTATTCTCCCAGCCTATCGCGGTAGTCCTTCCTCACTGCTCTATGTCACTTGCCTCTTTGTTTTCTCTTCTCCTGGTCTCACTCTTATTTCTTCTCCCCTCCTCCCCTTGTCCACCTAATGGCTTAAAAATGCCAGTGGTCCCACCACACTTAGAACACACTCCTTGCAGTGACCTTGAAGCACTTGCCCAGCCTGGCCCAGCTCACCTCTGACATCACCCCATCACCCCAAACTCCTCTCCGTTTGCTCCCTTTCAGCCACTGAGCTCTCTGCTTCTCAAACAGGCTGAACTCTTTCTGGCTCTGGCCTCTGCCCCTCAACTGCTCCCCAAAGCCACCCACCCTCACCTCCGCATGCTCAAAATTAAGTTCCTCCCCCAAGCCTGTCACCATATCCTGCTCTTTGCTGAACAGCATTGATCTCACCCTACATTGCTTTTGTCCCAGGTTGGCCTGTTTGTGGACAGTCTCTCCGGCTCGTGTGCGAGCTCCATATGCACAGGGATTATGTCTTGTCTTGCTCCTGGTGTGTCCCTGGTACCTAGCACAGTGTCTGCTCACAAGGAGCATGCAATACATACCTGTCGCTAGGGCTGCCACGTTCAGTTGTATGGTTTGTGCATTGCACAAGGGTCCCTACATGAGGGGCAAGTGGGGGCTGAAATGCAGTCCGTGCACCACTTGCCCAGCTGTGTGCCCTGGCAAAGGGCTTACTTAGTCCACCTGGAGAAAAGGCATCTTTTTCTTTTTCTTTCTTTTTTTAAAAAAAAGATTTTATTGGGGAATTGGGGAACAGACAAGTTGTTGTCCTTCAATCTTAGTTGTGGAGGACACAACTAGCTCAGCTCCCAAGTCCAGGCACCATCCGGCCACCTGCTGGCAGCTCAGCTGCAGCTCAGCTTGGGTGCAGCTCACTGGCCCATGTGGGAATTGAACCAGTGATGCAGTTGCTCAGAGCTCGCACTCTTAACCAACTGAGGTGCTCGGCTGGCCCCAAGGGCATCTTTTTCTTTACACACAGACTCACTTGCTTGTCCATCCTTAAGTATGTGGGGCTGCCTCACGAGGAGTGGAATCATCTCTCTTTGCCTCCATTAGGGATTGTGATCTCTCCAACTTGAGGGATTCAAAGTTATATAACAGAGTAACAATAGGGGTCTGGACAGTCCCCAAGAAATCTGATGACCAGATTGGGAATTTGAACATTGGCACCCTGGCTGGGCAGCCCACACACACAAGGGCTTTCAAGTCACAGTAACACAGACCAAGAAGCTTCCTGCCCTCCACGCTGGTCCTCTGCTTCTCCCTTCTGAGGCTGCTGGAGGGGCTGGCCAGGGGTCAAGGCTGCTCTACCCAGTGGCCGGAATGGCCCAGGGGCTGGGGAGTGCAGGGTTGGGGATGGATGCAGCCCTGGGAGGTGCACGGTGCTTAAATTTTACACTGTTTTAAAGTTCGTGTTCACAGCGTTTTCACCCTCTGTGTTTCACTTGAGGAAAAATCCTGGACATCTAGGTCCGGTTGACACTCTGAGGGAGGCTGGACCTTGGTGACAGGGGCACCCCTAATGATCCCTATCGACTGTACAGTGGATGGGGAATGCACAAGAAGGCGCAGCAATCCTGCCCCAGCCTCTCCTGCGGGCCACCGTGTAGGCTGCTGCCAGTGCATCACCTCCTGTATTCCTCAGAACTCCCTAAGGAGCTCAGGGGGGGGGGGGAGAAGACACTTCATTCCCCTCCCAAAAACACTGCCCAGGAGGCTGTAATGCACCCACACAAGGCTGCATGTGACCTCTGCTGAGCGGGCCTGGCACCTGTGGGCACGAAAAGCATTTCTGCCTTAAATGGAGTGAGGTTGCAGAGATCAGACGGTGGGGGTAGAGGCAGGATTCAACCCATATCAGCCTGCCTCCGAAGCCCACTGTGCCAGTGGCTCCCAACCTTTTTTCTGCCCTCAAGCATTTGCCAGGCACAGGACTCACCCATTAGAATCGGTTGTCATTGTTACACAGAGTAACTAGTACCCCCCAGGAAGGGCCTATATGATGTGCAAAATTAGGTCCCCTTTGCACCTCCACCCCACTAAGGGGGTCGCTGGTCGTCAAGGGGCCTGGTTCTTCTAGTACTGACCCTACCGCTGGAGCAGGTCATTCCACCTCTCTGACTTGTCACCTCATGTGACAGGCGATGTCAAGGCTTGCTGCACTCCCACATTCTGAGCTACAAGGAAGTGGGAGACACGGTTCTTTATTTGTCAGTACAGGTGAGTCAGGGAGACAGTCACAAACGAGAGAGTAAATGACAGGTACCTTTGGCAGCTCGGGACCACAGTGCAGACGCCGGCAGGGGGCAGTGTGTGTGTGTGAATGACAGATGAGGGAGAAAAGGCAATACACACGGGGGAGAGGGGTTCAGAGAGGAGCCAGCACATGAGCTAGACCTTGAAGGAGGGGTGACTAGATGGTAGAGGGAGGGCTGGGGAGGGAAGCTGTGTTCCTGACACCAGGGCCCTGGGGAAAGACACACAGAGTCATGACTAATGTCCCCATGTCTCTATCCTTCACAAAGTGGTGTCCTCTCCAATATTTCATCTAAGTCCGAGTTACATTTATTATACTGTTTCACGGGGAAATGGAAGCTCAAAGAAGTTCAAGATCATACAACTGACAAGTGGTATATAATTGAGCTTCCACTTGTTTTGACTTCGTATTGGTGTCATTTCCAACCACCCTGCAGTTTCTTCTCAAACAAAACAAAACAAACAAACAAACAAAAACAGTCCCTGTTCCTCTTGGATGCTGGATTCTCCGTGGCAATCGCAGCATCCTGGGGGTTGGGCCACTGCTGCCCCCTCCTCTTCATCAGCACGAAAGCGCTCAGCTTCCCACAGGCCGCTGGACCGCGCATCCGCTTCTCAGGATCATCCTGTCCCATCACTTATTGGGACCAAAACTAAGGCTGTTTGGCTGGGTTGGGGTTTATGTTTGGTTTCATCCCAGTTCAATCATTTGAGAATAAGGCTAGACTGATTAATTCCCAGTGTGATCAGATTTCGCCAATTTTGCATTTTTAATGGGGAAATCATCATCTGGCTCAGTTCAGAGTGAGGTTCACTCTGTGTTGCCTCAAGTCTCTGCAGAGCCTGGGTCCCCATGCCTCCCTGCTCAGTGGGTCTCAAGTTATGTGTCCCCCATAGCCTCTAGGGCCAGAACAGTAGGGCTGGCTTTTCTTGGGTGTCCACCAATATCCATCCCTTCTCCTTCTGCCTTCCTTCAAGTCACCAGGTTTTCTGGGATCCACTTCAGCTCCCAGAGAGGAGATGAGGGGTTCTGTTTGGCCTGACCCTCTCAGTTCCTGGCATTATCCTGGGGATGGCGTCTGGCCCAGGGGCTGGCACCTATCCTGGGGAAGCCAACCCAGACAGAATGGAAGGACCTGCATCCCACGGCAGAAGAAGAACTTCTCTCCCCTGCTGGACCGGAAGCATGTGGCCCCGACTTGTGACGGCAAGGTGAGGCAGTCTTAGGACCAAGCTGACGGTGGTGTAGACAGCAGGGTGGAGAGACAGAAGGAAGCCGTGTCTCCAAGGACAGTGTCATTAAGCCACTGACTCAACTAAACCCCAAATCGGTCCTACCTCTGCTCTTCAAGTTACATGAGCAATATTATTCTCGCTGTTTAAGCCGGTTTGTATTGGGGTCTTTGTGACTTGCAGCCAAGAGTACCCAGACTGCACTTTTTACCGAGCAGCACAGGACATCATGACCCTCGTATAGAGAAACTCTGCCTAGGGTCAGACACCCATCCCCCCATCCCTGAACCTTTCTGCATCCGCCAAAAGCATCCTCATTTGCTGTTCATCCTTGCCCTCCCCTGGTAAGATCCTGTGCGGCAATGGCTACCTCTCGTGGATAATAATTTATAGCCCTTGACCAGGCCGCGAGCAGGGTCTGATGACAGGTACATAAGCCTCTTCAAATACTGAAAGCAGCAGCTGATTACCTATCTCATCATTCTCTTGTACAATTTTACTTATTGCCTTTCAAAACCCTGGTTCCACCACATCGTTCTAATGCATCTCTGCTTCCACTTAAATAGCTTGAACTTCAGTGCCCAAGAAGCAGAAAAGAGGCTTGGGAATTGAGGGAGAGCCTAGGAAAGGATTATAGGTGGAGAACATAAATGCCTGGGAGGAAGAAGGCCTTCAGGGGAGCAGACCCCTATGGAAGGGCCTGTGTTCAAGCCCTGCACCTCGATGGAGGAGGGGCAGGATTTGGAAGTGAGGATTCTCTCTAAATGTCGCCTAAACCCAGGGAAGAGGGTCTGGACATATAGATGCAGGATAGATCAGGGGAAGTTTCCAGGGGAGGCGGGCATTCAATAATTAGGAAATGCCCAGCTGTGCTCGGCATTGAGGTACGCGGAGCATCAGGGCCCCTCTGATGTGTCTCTTTGGATCGGCCCTGCCTCACTTGTCTCCGGGGCCTTGGACCACTTCCTCCTCCCCATCATGGCCAGCTCTGTACAGATTCCGATTAGCTTCACGTGGGCACAGCTGCATAGTGCCTCATTGTCACACTCACGCCCCCTCCTCTCTTGTCACCTGTCCTGGGGCTTCTCAGTGGCTGTTGGGGTGTGAGACACCCAGGGACACTCTGTGTCCACCCCAGGGCAACCCAGATGTGTTAAGAGTTAAAACTCCATGGAGGGAACTTGACCACAG